GTTCTAAGATCCAAGAAAGTTCAACTGACTTTGGGTTGGAAATTACAGTGAATGTTAAAAAATGATTAATTCTAGATTGAATTCTAGGTGAATTGAAGTGTAGATTTTATTATTTTAGGATTTGTGAAGTAGGAAATTTATGTTTGTGTTGACTATATATTCTAAATGAATTGTGATAAATTTATGACATCTATGTGAATTCTAGAAGTCAACTTTTGAATTCTAAAAGGTATCTCACTACAATATATGAATTCTAAAGGGTATTTGATATGAATTTATGAATTGTCCTTTCAATGATTTTATATGATGTGAATTAACAAACCTACTTTTCTTCGCCAACCATGTGACATGTTATTCTAGAAGCAGAGACTAGAAGCTGGTATCATGTGATTTTTGAAGCTATGTGACCTGTTAATCTAGAAGCTGTGACTTGTAAATTCTAGGAGCTATTTGGCATGTGGATTCTAGAAGCTGTGGCTTGTAAATTCTAGAATGTGAACATATAAGTATTATTATTTCAATAATTCCGAGCACAGATGAATCAAATTTGATTAGTAAACACAATTAATAGTTTATACTTGATCCCAAAGAAATTGCCTATTACTTATTTATATGAATGTTTTAAAAAAAATCAAAATGACATTATTGAGCATGTATAAATATGTTCTAAACTCTTTTATAATTATGTAATCTCAACACCAGGACACAAAATTTTAATTTGTTTCTGTACTACTTATTTAATCTATTTAAAGTCAAATGACATGTATTTTAATATTTTTTATTTCTGTTATCCCCTGTGTGTGGGATATAAGGATATTGTATTAAATGTACCACCATATACATGTGCCATGATATATAAAGAGCATAATAGTTTATTAGTGCAGATAATATTTATGTAAAATATTGTGAATTCTTTTATCTTATTATGTCAGCGAAAGTTTCAACTACAGTATAGAAGTTCAGAGCCATCCAACAATTTTCATAAAATTATTGCTACTGTCAGTGAAATCTTGTAAATGCTTTACAAGTAAGAGCATTTAAGACTTGCTGGGATTGTTTGGCTAAAGAAATTCCTTTAGAAATTTTTATATGTAATTATTGTAATTGACATGTAACTGCCCATCTTCAAAATGTGGCTAGTGAGCATATATTTTATTTATTAGCAATGGCAACACAATTTGACCAGTCTTAATTTATTTAGGTGATCAAATTAGAAATGGGACTTTTAAGTAAGACATGTACCACCAGTACCTTTATTTTATCTACCGGTACTTATAATTATATAGGTTATACAAATTTTGTTAGCTTGTATGTAATAATCTTGCACAAATATTGTATTTGTATATTTATTGTATTTCATTTTGTTACTCATTGATACATACTCTTTGTAGTGTTTCTTTTGAAAATTGGACAAAGTATAAATTTTGTGTCTATCCATTACCTCACTTCAGGTCAGTTGTCGCTCATACTTTATGTCTCTGGTTAAGCTCATTTTAACTGTTGGTTGCAAAAGTGATTTGTTAACCAATCATAGTTTAACACAGAAAATGCCCTTCAGTCCAACAAGACTGTGAAAGAAGGCGACATTCGTAATACATTTTCATTTTATGCTATATTTTGTATATCATTTGATGTAAGCTTACATAAATAGCCAGGACAATAATGTTTTCTACAGTTTTGAAATTTATTTAACTTTATAAATTTGTTTATATGCTTTTTATTGAAATTGTGTAATTTTATTGAAATTGTGAATTTCAAAACCCTATAAAAATGAAGATTCATAAATTTCCATCTAATGCATACAGAAAAATCTGTCAAATCTGTTTTTTTTTTTTAATTGAAATCACCACCCAACCCCCACAAATAAAATTAAATAAAATTTGTAGATATATATTCCTTGTTACAGAATTGATGAAATACGTTTTGGTTGATAATCTGTAGAATTTAAGATCAGCTCACACTGATTTTTTTGCCAGCAACTCATTGCATAATCAACGCATTCATCTGTTAGAAAGTGGTGCTGTAAACTACCAATGAATGTGAGATTAGTCATACAGGTTTTTAAGCAGTGGTCACATCTTACGATCACGCATGTAGTTGACCGTTGTGGGGGAATGACCATAGTTGACAGTAGTAGACCTTAGTTAACCGTAGAAACCCATGATTTGAACTGGTTAGCAGCCCCAAAATTTCAACATATTCAAAATATATCTACGGTGGTATTGGATGCCAAGACCCTACTGTGACCATAGTTTAAATGTACGGTACTTGACGGAAGTGTTTACTGTAGTTGTCCATAGTGTTTGCTATAGTTGACTGTAGTTGCATGATACTGCGCTTAACACTACAGTCAAGTACGAAGTAGGGTCAACTAGGAACAACTACTAGTATATATGTTCACAATACACATTACGGTTAAGTATGGTAACTAGGGTGAAATAGTTTTAAGGAGTGTGAAGTAGGACCCTAGTTGAGTTTAGTTGACAGTAGTGAACTATGGTCAACTACGTGCGTGACCGCAAGATGTGACTGTGGCTTGAATAATAGGGAATCCTCCTGTACTGTCAATTTGGTACTTTTTGATAAATGAATAGTACTCAGCTATTGACCAATGACTTCCCTTTATCGTGTGGGCTACATAAGCAGGCCTTAATCCCTGGCGGTTTCCGAAGTGGTTAGTTTCTTTTCCCAATACTTGTCTGTGACATCCTTGTTGGAAGCAGACGTTGACCCAGAGAACCCAAAAAGCTTTAATGATGTATGTTGATTTTGATAGTTTTTGAAAATTAAAGACTTTCTCATCTGAAGTTTAGGAGCACAGGCAAAATTGTGACCGGTAAACTTATCAGTACTCAGTATCCAATAGCCTGGAAAGTTTATTTTAACAATTGTCAAGAGGGACAAATATTGTGCCATTTTTTACACTGGTTTGATATAGAGTTGTTTTTGTGGGGTGTAAATTGGATGGTATCATTGGTAATCTTTAATGCTAGACTAATATTTACAGATGGAAAATGATAAGATAATTTAAATTCACTAGAAATTTTAAACATGTAGCTTTCAGATGGACTTGAACTTTGAACCCAAACCAACTTGCCTATTCTAACATTAACAAATGATTCTAAACTTGTCATTCAGATGTTTCATTTAATTATGCATTAGTACATTTTCCTCATGATTATTCATGCTGGCAGTTTAAAGCCAACCAATTCAGACATGTATATGTGAATAATATTCTAGTCTGCATCACTAACTGGGGTCTCACTTCAAGATTTTTTTGCCAGTCTGTCATTTTCTTGTGTGTTTTGTTTATCTCAGATAAGCATGGAAGTATGACAATCTTTAGCATTACATACTGAATTTATAAATACATTTTTACTGTCATATACTTCCATGCTTATCTGAGATAAACAAAAGACACAAGTAAATAAGAATTGAACTGTATTAATTGTCCTTTATGGTTAAACTGACTGATGGGTTAATTCTCTAGCCAGTAAATTGTATTGCCAGTCAGTTGAGACTGGTTAATATGACCAAATTCAGAGCCCTAGTCAGTACATAGTACTCTATATATAGGTTACCTTCAGACAAATAGGTAAACATCATAATACTTTCCTCCCATGGCAAAGTGAACATTTGTGTGTGAGTACGGGAGACTGAACAATAATAGTGAATTTAGTTTCATATCATGCTTCCAGATTTAATGAATTTAATTTACATAAAAATTTTAGTTCCACTGAAAATTTATTACCCAAAACTATTATTGCCAATATTTCCTATTGACTTTTAAAATGCTTCCCTCTAGAATTAAGAGTTTAATGTCAATTTTTATAACACTATATATTTCTGTATAAAATGTTTTTTTCTTCTGTTCTGAATTTTGTATTATTTAGTTATGAAATTATTATTGTTTTTAAAAGAATTAAGAAAGTTTTCAGAAAATTATATATTTGTTTATTGTTGAATACAATTTGTCCTCATGAATTGGCTACTTGACAACCAGTTAGGATTGCCTGTGTTTTTTACGTTGATAAATTCTAAAGAGGCATACCAGGGTAAGTGCTTTGGAAATTCTCCCTGGTCAATCAAAAAAATAATGATTTGATGTGGTTTGACTTGACATTTCCATATTGATTATGTATGCTCCAGAGATATAGTTTCAGTTGTATATGCTTGTCATGACCTACATGTATTAGCAAACATATGCTCAATTTAAGTCAAATCTGCAATTCCATCAGTAAGATAGACTTCTGACTTTCAATTTTGTATATGCCCGTCATGATCTACATGTATTAGCAAACATATGTTCAATTTTAGTTAAATCTGCAATTCCATCGGTAAGATAGACTTCTGACTTTCAATTTTGGAGTTTAAAAAATTTCTAGTGGTTGATTGGTCTTGGCTGTGATTGCCTTCTTCTGGACCACAATAGTAAATGTGTTGTGCTTGGAGAGGGGGGGGGGGTGAGAGAGAGAGATGGTTCAAGTTTATTTCACTAATTCGCTTACGCGTAGGGGTCTTTCACAGTGGGAGGAAACCAGAGAACCCGGAGAAAACCCATGAGGTTGGACAGGCGACTCTACTCCTTGTCACGTACAACCGGAGAATCGAACTGACGTCAGTTGACTCAATGACAGACCTTATGTACAGCACGTATGTCCTAACCATTCAGCCATCCAACCCTTGGCCTCACGGTATAACATAATCATCCACAGCTTTTCAACAAATGACAATAACATCACCAACCCGTAAATGATCCCTATGAAGATTGTCTCCTTGCACTATGTTTAATATTGATAGAGTGGATTAAAGCATATCAACAGTCTCAGGATAAGTTTATACACAAACTATTTTTGAGCAAGGGCAATAACTGTCTCAAATCATTAGTATTCAGTAGGTAAAACCATTAAAATAAACTAAGTGGATGAAACAAGAGCAATAATTCTTTCAAAAGAGGGGTGAATCTTTGCATTTATAATAAATAAAGAAAATTATACGAGATAAATATTTTTATTAGCAACATGGACATAAGCTTCAAAAGCTGATTTTAGAAGAAGAAAAAACTAAATTAAAACAATTCTTTGAATTCAAAAAATAAGGCTATGTTGGATTTGATAATAAATCAAACAATTGTAAAACAAATGATTGCATGGATATTTGTATTAGGTGTTCTAGAATGAATTGACAGGGATAAATTATTGGCTTATAAAGTCTTACATTGACTTTTATAAATCAAATCTAACATAGCCTGTAATTCGGCCATGATTCAATCCGGTACTGCACTATTTTTTTAAAATTAAATCTCAATTTACCAGATCTTTTAACCCATCTAATTGTTGTTTATAACAAAAGTCTGGATAATTGAGACTAAAGTGCAGTCTAACAAAATAAAAATACATGTGATTTCATCACAGGGATAAATATTATGTAATAATGGACGTATAAACATAAACACTGCATGTTTGAAGCCCCAACATAACAGAATAAAAGTCAAATACACAGTTTAAGACATACACAATCAAATCAATTAATTCCCTAATGTACGTTATGGCCATTTAAAATTAGGTAAATTACATTATGGCCATCTAAAATTAGGTAAATAAAGTAATAACTATTCTGCTATCTGTTTTATATTGAATGAATAAAATGGGTATAACGTCCTACTTTTCTGTTCCTACAGGGCTAATGAAGACTGGTATCTTTTTTGTACAAGACGGTACATTTTCATAAAGAATTTTTTTTTTTAAATATGATGTGTATAATTACATAATATCAACACTGTTTAGATTAAAATGGTATATTTCTTTGAGTTTTTAGATATGAGTTCTCTGGATCATTATGCTTTTAAGACCTTTATTACCAAATTTCATATGTGAATTATCTGGCTTGTTATGCCGTTAAGACTATAATGAATAATATAATGAACAAATAGCAATGGCACAAGTTCTCCTTTAATATCTCCATTACAAGCGATAGTAGTTATTATACAATGTGTTTTAACCATTACCTATTGCCTACACTACATCAATAGCATTGAGAAATTCTAAACACATGTATCATTGGAATTAAGGTGTTATTTTCTAAGAGTATTTAAAATAAATTTTGTTATGCTGGGAGGGAACTATATATAAAACATTATAAAATCTGATAAATATCTTAGATATTTAGTACTAGCAGAATTGCCATTTATAATCCATGTCATGCATACTATAATGCTTACATACATGTAGTACACGCTTACATTATTTGTAGTATACATTTACATTATATGTAATCCACACTTAAGTACCTGAAGTACACACTTCTTAATTACATGTAGTACACACATAATTACATGTAATACACACTTACATTACATGTAGTACACAAAAATAATCCATACACACATAGCTCTACAAACAAAAAATGGTAATTGTAATATTTTGATTCTACCTTAAAAACAAACAAATATATATTTTACATAGAGCTGCTTCCCTCAAATATGTTAGTTGAAGTTTTTAAGGAAAAGGCTGTTGGCTCAGATATTTATTGCATTATTTAAACTTAAAATTTCTCCAAAATCAAACTCATTGATCAGAGAATATATTTTGTTGAAAAACATAATATACTCTTCAAAAAAAAGTAGGGGATATTGAAATGCAAATACCAACTGCCAAGGGATCTTTTACGTGCACGCCAATGTGTACACGGGACCTCGGTCCTGCATCACTGACAAGGGAGAACCACGCTGGAAAATCTGGATGAACTTTCTCGGCCAATGCAGGGATCGAACACCCGACCTCCAGGCTAGCGAGCTAGCGTCTTACCCACTTAGCCACGTGATCCCCGTGTGGGGAAGAAGCACCATGACTGGCGGAATAGACTTGCATATTGTTCAAGGAAGGGTCACTGGTGTGTACTACCATGACCACATCCTGGCACCTATAGTTCTGCCCTTTGCTCAACGTGCAGGTCGACATTTCATCTTTCAAGATGATAATGCCTGTGCCCACTGCTCGTGTCTTGAATGACTACCTCCAACGTCACCATATTGTCCATATGCCTTGGCCAGCCATGAGTCCTGACCTTTCCCCTATAGAGCATGTCTGGGACATGATCGGGAGACGTTCGTCGACATTAACAGACAACACTGCAAGAATTGGCCGTGGCACTGCAAGAGGAGTGGCAATCTGTCTACAGAGATCTTCTAATATCTCTGTAACAGATGACTGTTTCGACACCTGACGTCACATCACACGGTGTCAATCATTGGCTCAAGAGCACGGGCATTGTTTACATAAGACATCACTGATTCGGGCTAAATGGTGAATTTTACTTATTTTAATACCAATTTACACTAAATAGGAAATGATTTTTACCTACAAATAATTCAAACCTCTTTATTTTCTTTTCCAATAAATGAAAAAAATGTTTTAGAATTTAATTTGACAAAGAAAAAAGTTAATATTTGGGACTCATTAAGTCACATCGATGTCATCCTTATCAGTGATTGTAGCGGCCTAGCGAAAATTCACTGTTGATCAGTGTGGAGTGGGTCAGATTGCCCCAAATCATGATTGGACAGTTGATTAGGAGCATGCCACAATGAATTGCTGAATGTCTGAGGATTGGTGGAGCAATTACTCATTAAGACAAAAATCAAAAAAGTCCATTTTCACTTTTGACAGTGTATCTCTTTGCGGGTGAAATGGGGCCGTCCATATGAACTGTTTATGTTCATGTGTAGGCAGTTGGCCTTTTATTAACATACATTGGTTACCTCTAATAAAAACAGCAGTGCATTTCCACAGTTTTGTATTATTTCTGAATATCCCTTACTTTTTTGGAAGAGTATATAAAGCACAATATTCAAAACTATATACCGGTAACAACTCTCAACAAAAATTTGTGGAAAATCTAAATTAAATGTCAAAATAAAAAACTAAATCAAAATAAAACAAAATCATAAATCAGCTTGCTATGCAATGAAACATACACATCTCCACAACCGTTTTGTCTTCATGTCATAATTACATATAAATCTTACAAAATACAAAATAACATAATCTATAAAGTGATCAAGGGCACTAAATCTGAAAATGATCAGAAATTGGATATAGATGTTTTTGTTTTAGTAAACTAGTTTACTTAAAATCATGACACCCTCCATGAATTATGTGCCATAACTTTTCAAGTTACAAGTTTAGTGCATACACAGATATCAAGTAAAAAGCTTAACGCACAATTTTTTACGAATACTATTTATAATAATCTTCATTTTGTTTCAATGGCATTTAGTAATTGAACTAGAGTATACAGGTCACAATTCTATGGAATACAATTACGGCTTATTACTGAGCGACTTTTCGACTAGGCTTCTCTAGTCATTATCAAGCAATGATAATAAGCATTAATTGTATTCCATAGAATTGTGACCTGTATAATAATCTTCATTATATGACACAAAAGGCATAAATTAAGTAAACTACAACAAATGATGTTTTCATAAATATTAACCAACAATCATACAAAATGCACGCAATAACATACAATATGCATTATGCACACAATTACATGTACCATACGGTATCGTCAATACACACATATTTGATGGACTGATTATCATATAATATCAAGTCATTAATGACATATTTTCATAACATAACATTTGATATATATTTTCTACATAGTCAAGATCCCATAGGAAGTTTAAACAAGCTTTAAAATAATTACTTTTAAATATTAAAGCCCCAACAGCCAGAATATAGGTTAAATACAGTGTTTAAGACTATACTCAATCCAATGTACTTTTATTAAAAAACATTAGTCAAATCATCCAATTCTATGGTCATTTTAAGTTTACATTGTTTTCTATTAATATTACACTGCTATCTTTAAATCCCTCTTCAACAAATATATTACCAGTGGATATATTAATTGCAAGGTTTTCTACAGACCAACCCACTGTGTAGGTGAAATAACTTCATTTAAAGTCTGCTTCGACAATGAAGTGACTTTACTCAGTTACATAACAACAGACTGTCTTTAAACATTAATCAGAGTCTCACAATTCAAGATGATTTTTTTATTAGTTTCTAATAATAAATCTCTGACATAATTCATCTACATATGATACAACTGGATTTTTACCCAAATAAAACATCTGAATATCCACCAGACATGAAAACGACAACCACAACAATTTCAACAAGCCAGAAATAAAAAAATTAGTTTTGACAATGAAGTGGAAGTGGTTACATTAACTCATGTTCACCAAATGCATCAGGAGCACAACAACAAAAAAAACTTTAAGAGTTTTAAAGTGATGCAATTAGAAACGATTCTAATATTTTATAGAATTGATAGGTTATATTGCATTCATGGTAAAAGGTAAATGCAAATTTTCTCCCAAATATTAAATAGCAAACAGGTCATACTTATTTAGATACTTTCCACCATATGATAGGGATGTAACTATTCTCATTACTCACTATAAGTCACTTAGTGATGACAAAAATGTGTCTAGTTAGCTGCAAATGATCAGGATGATTTGATAATGATATATGTCAAACATTGCAGTTGATTTGGTACCTAATGGGTTAAAGGGCTATTTTTCTTTTGATGTATGCTTTAAAAGAAATACTGACTTGGCTTAAACATTAAAAAAAATCATTTTAAAGTGACAAAAATGCTTAGATAGAGTTTTAAACTTTGGCAATCAGAGCTTTAACACAGGGTCAGTTAAAAAAATTGTTGCGAATCTAAGATATTTTCTTGGCGAAAGAGATAATGAAAACTGAAATATATGAGGAATTTCCATCTTGAAGTATTAGCTTACTTCACTGACCAATTAACTATGTTCCTTATGTGTACAAAATCTCTATTACAACTGCTAACACACAGATATTTGGCCCATAATGTGAAAAACATGTTCTGAAAGCTTTCCTATAACCATTTACATGTTGTGAGAATTGAAACAGAAGCCGGAAGATTAAGGGATGGTGGACGATATAATTTTCATTAATGCATTAACAATACAAAAATCCACAATATATTGCTATTATTGCAATATTCTAGGACTTCAATCAAGGAGACTTGAAGAAGGTGGTAAACTCCTCAATAAGACTTATATGTGAAACAAGTAAATTTGAATCATTGTAACGTCAAGCTTATACTATGTTCAATAAAATACAATAATCTTTCAGAGCATATTATTAGGGAAATGGAGATCCGGTCACACTATATTTAGATAATTTTGCAGTATCTTCAATGGTCAATTTTTTTTACATATTGCAATACATTGATTTATTGAAATTACTGTTCAGCCCTAGGAAGAAGACACCATGATACAATCTTCAAAAGTTTTCACTATGTTTTCTGTTTCAAAATTTGTTCAAGTAGAACTAAAATTAAGAAGCTCACTAAATACTAATTATACAAAACAGAGATTTTGAACCATGATATTTTATGTTTACAATAGCTACACATATTTATATAGACTGTACTTGTTGTGTTCCGAGGGAGTAGAAATCAGATCTTCTCAAACATGTAACTTATTGCCATGATCTGTTGATTCAAGTCAGTAAAAGAGATTATTTCAATTTGCAATGACTTGCCATAGCAACAGATGTTTACTTTCTGTCAAGGGCATACATTTGACCAGATCTGAACTGTAAATCCTGTCACTGCGAAAAACATGAATTGAAATGGTGTTTAACATCCTACTGTTCTGCTCCAATTGGGCAAATGAAGATGGGCATATGCCGTACAGTGTGCTAGGAGGGAAATATTGAATTCTAACTGCCACTGGTTCTTTTATGTGCACAGCAATGTCTACACAGGACCATGTTTTTTTCATCCCCTCCGCATGACTATTCATTGTCCTTTTCCAGGGCCACCTTCCTGCACAATTGACAAAGGGGAAACAACATCAGAAAATTCTGACGAACTTTTTCAATCAACACAGGGGCCAACATCCTACTCACAGAGCCATCATGGCTCCACTGCGCAAAAAAGGTACAGTCCTTTACTATAGTATGATAAAGTGAGACCTAAAAAAAAAAATAAAACAAACAAAAAACAAGTCTTAATATATACATATGGTCTGTACACACAAACACACAGTCTAATATCTAGACTGAGTATTTAGATGTGAAGTGTAAAAATCTTCACAACAAAAACTGACCTATTTACACAAATCACTATGCAAGCTTAAAAATGATCTGTCAACTCTTAAAACAACCATTTTGTTTTACATTTACTTCAATAACCTTACTTTGGATATTTTAGTATGTTGTGAAGAACAGGCTTGATCAAGGAGGGTAAAACTGTGAACCTTTTTAATCTTGGTTTACAACTAACACATATTCTAATCTCAACAACCTCATACTAGGTCACTAACAAATATTCAATTATAAATTCGGGGGTATTTTTTAATACAAACACCCAAAATATTTATACATTTAAGCACATTATAAACGAAGACTGAGCATTACAATCACGTTCTTTCTGTTTATTAGCACGTTGAAAATTTGAATGGAGAATCAAAAGTTTTCAGAAATCATGAAAACCAGTGGTTGGTTTGTCACAAGTTCATAACATGACTTTGGATGTGTTGTTTTATGGTCTCAGAATTATGAAAGGTCATGCCACAGATTTGACAGCGATATATCTGTTCTAAAGCTATGCTGTGTCCGACCAAATGTTTCTGTAGCGACTCTTCATCACTACACATCTCTGAACAAATTACACATTTCACTGTTTTTTGATTTTTGCTGTGTGTTTTTAAATGAGTGTGTAGATTTGGCAAACTATCAAATATTTTTCCACAAATGTGACACTTATGGTTGCGATTCTCCACATTTTTTTCAAAACTGCTTGATGCTTCTGGCATGGTCGAAAACCTCAAACTATCCGGCGACATTTTTACAGCAGGCATCAATGGTAATTCAAAATGACTAGGAAATGAAGAACCAGCAAAATTTGGTAAGGCTAGTTGTGAGAGCTGCGAAACTTGATTTAAGCCAATCAGATTGTTTGGTTTCAGTGACTGCTCAGTTTGTTCATCTCCATGGATACGTATGTGTGCTTTCAATGATGCTTTCTGACTAAAAGATTTATTACAGATGTTACAAGTAAAGGGTTTTTGTCCATTGTGCGACCACATATGGACTTCGAGGTTCGATTTTTGACTGTAACTCTTCATACACACCTCACATTTAAATGGCTTCTGGTCGTCATGGGTACGTATGTGTGTCTGTAAATTACCGTTTTGATGAAATCTTTTACCACATAGTGGACACGCAAACGGTTTTTCACCAAAATGAAGTTTGATATGAGTTTGTAAATTGCCTCGCTGGGTAAAAGATTTACCACAAAGATCACATCTGAATGGCCGCTCGCCATTATGTGTTCGCAGATGGGATTGTAAGTTGCCTTTCTGTATGAAGGCCTTGTCGCAGTACTCACAATGAAAGGGCTTCTCTCCTGTATGAATTCGCAAATGCATTTGAAGGTGACTGTCATGGGTAAAAGACTTACCACAGTACGAACATTTATAGGGTTTATCACCAATGTGGCATTTTAGATGAATTTGCAAAGTTAAATTATCCGGGAAAATCTGTCGACATATGCAACATTTGAGTATTTTAGGATCTTCATTATCAATTAGTATGATGTCATTACCAGCCACTGGTGGCCCAAAATGATTGTTAACTGTAGAATTATTTGGAGAGTTCATTACTTCTGGTGAATTCATTTTCTTTTTTCTTCTTTGGGTGTCTGTTTAAACTTTTTTAACATAAATCTAAATAATAAAATAACAATTGAATTATACATACTATACATAGTAAACAAAAATAGGAAATAGGGGTTTAAGCTAGATATATACTGTTGTGTACATCCTTGACTGGTTCTGGTACAAGTGAGTAGAAAACATAGTTTGTTCGTAATTTTCCATTACATGATTGTAAAAAATAATCACAAACTCATTACTTATTGACATGACCTCCTGAATTAAACCAGTGAAAAGTGACTACTATATTTTCCTTAGCTGTTACCTCAAAAAATTTCAGTGGTCATAAATTTCATGATGTACATTCCACCATCTTTCTTTTATTCTTCAAAGTTTGTGGTGTGTCAGTAACACTATTTCTAGTAAAACATTTTCATAAAAAAATTTTGCTTAGGAATTTATCGACTCCAAACAAAAAAATTAAATATCAGTAGGACTTTTTACAATACTGCTACTAGTAGTACTATGATACTCTTCTCTGTTCCCAGTTGCATTTTGTCCCCATATCTTTCAACCTTACAAACTTGATCCACTCTGACATGAATTGAAAGGAAATTGTACTAAACTTACATAGTACCGAACCTTCCAGCAGTGTTTTATGCATATATATTCCTTACAATATTTCTGACACATTGCTATGTTATCGATCTTTGATTTGCAGAGTGGGCAAATCATTTGTGGTTAAATTAAATATCAAGTGGGACACATTTCATTTATTGATTTCCCTATGTGAAATCTAATTGAAGTGCTTTTATGATGTAAAAATGCGAACCCACTTCCATTCAACAAACATCATCAGTAAAAGATAGAAGTGTCACGGTATCATTAATCTATAGGCTACTCACTAATATTATGGTGTTTGTAAAAATATTACACTTACAGTTGGTGTTGTAACATGTTTTTAATAGGCTCAGCCATTCATTCACATCAACTTGAAAGTGAAAGGTCAGGAAGATATTGTCCACACTGACCCCAGTCGTTAGTAGTTCTACTCTTTGATCTCTTATCATAAAACGGTCATTTAAATTTCAACTTTCAAAATAGCAAAATGTAATCTACATGTAACTCTATAACTATAAGTACTGAAATATATAATTATAAGGCCTAACGCCCTGAATATCAAACTCAATAAAAAAAAAATCGTCTGCTTTTGAGCTAATTCAAAGCTTTAATATCTTACGAAAATCCCAAAACACTTGACTTATACCTCCGCTAAAAGTTTCTTCATTACTTAATGTATCTTAAAAAGTTATCAAAATTTATACACTGAATAAAATTGGAGAAAATTAATGCAATTAAAAATTCTTCAAACAATAATACGCCATCTTGGTGTAGCTTTCCTTTTCCAGTCACAAATTTTCACATTACTTATCTTTTGAAGCAAACTCTAAAGTAGTAAATAAAATAATAAACATTTCATTGGATACACCCTCGCATAGGGTTTTATGTATTTTCCTAGAGTGGGCAACGGGCTGTAATTACGCAGCCCTAAAGCCTAACAAGAAATAAACTCTCTTACTTGCAGAGTTCGTCTTTACATTACAAAAGATGATGTCTGCACGTTGACGTACACGACATCTGAACTGAGTGTCTGGTAGATGTCGACAAAAGAAATAAACCGTAGTTAGTTCCCTTTGACCACTTCAGCGTTTATTGGCAACAAAATCCTGAATAATAATGTCATTTTGGAGGAACAGAACTCGGCGATAATGTTACCTACGGCAGTGTCAGTCTTGTTCAGAAAGCACCAATGTATCCCTTCTAAAAGTTTTGTTGACACCAATACGGTTTTGTCGGATTATTATAGGCTACAGGTATAAATTACATGATTAGGGTTCATATAACTACCGTACCTATTCACCTATTGTTTTACATCCTATTTTAAATCATATCCACCCTTCTTATATATTCAATAATATTGTCTATTTGGTTAGGAAATGATGGAAAATCCATTCTATCAAGTTTCTATCCAACTCAGTAATGATTGTATAAGCTAAAGGCAGAGGATATTTCACACCTCTGTTTGTTATATTTGCTAACCCTAATCCACATGTTTAGGCCTATGCCAGGTATTGACTATTGTTTAAATCAGGCTGTGAGATAACAGCAGGCCTAGGCTAAGTAAGCATCATTCAAGCGCTAATATTTGGGACCTAGAAATTGACACAAATAGGTCGCAACGCATATAATAATGTAATGTGAATGTATATAAACTGATTTACATTCAACCGTTTCTGTTTTCACTGTAATTTCTAATCAGTTATGTTCGGTGAAATTGAATGGCAGACTTTAGCGTCTGGTTATTCCAGTCTACACCTATGATATTTATTACGCATATGCTCTCCAGATAAGAATATAGCGTCACCATTTGGCATGATTTGTGGAATATTTCTAGCCGCGTTCTTTGAGTCCCTTGTTCCAAATGGCGCTGAATGCATTATGGTACACAATTCGTGTACCAATGGTAAAATGTTTATTTTGTCTTGGATTTCAGAAACACATCTTTTCCCTGTAAGATCATAAGACCAATGTTGATTTGAATTGACAAATAATTTGAGTTTTCAATGTCGAAGATTTTTGATGATATTGAGTTAAGAGACTTAGCTACTTTATAATAAGCTCCATGGTGTGGCTAGGCTGAAAATGTGTTGCCTTTAGTAGCATGTGGCATTTAATTGCGGTTGATATATTTAAGGACACAAGAACTGAGTCTGTGAATTGATATCACAGCCACATAGTTACATATCCAACTCTTAGTCTTATATAGCTAACTTCTGTATTCTATATGCAATATCTTTTATATGTAAATTAATTTTTATTTCAGAGTAAACACCTAAGGAACTACAAAGGTTAAAAAAGCAAAAAATGTTGTAACTGAAATGGATGTGAAATCAGAATCATGTGGAGAAGCAACAATAACTATGTTATCATCTGGGTCATTAATCAATAGTGCTCAAGAAACAAATATGGTGTCCAAGGACAAGCTATGCAATGATAAATCATCATTAATCCAAAGTGTTAATGACACTGATGTTGTATCAGAAGTGGGATCGTTCAGTGAACAACCCATATTAATCAATAGTGCTCAAGAAACAAATTTTGATTTTGAGAAGAGATCATGCAGTGAAATATTATCATTAATCCCAAATGCAGAAGAAGCAGAAAAAGTTTCTGATTCTAGATCATCCACTGAGAAACACATATTAGTTCATAGTAATGAAGAGATAAATAATATCGATCTACAGGGGAGATTGTGGGATGAAAAATCTGCATTAATTGAAAGTGCGAAAGACACACAGACAATTTCTCAGGCAAACTCTGCATTAATTGAAAGTGTGGAAGACAAGCAGATAGTTTCTGTGGCAACATCATCCAATGATAATCCAGTAAAAATGCAGACAGTTGTTAAACGGGAAAAAATTCACCATTGCAATATTTGTGGAAAGTCATACACAACCAAAAAAAGTTTAAAAGAACATTCCACCCTCAGTCATTCAGATGAAATTCAAGAATTAAACAAATGTGACGTGTGTTCAAAAGTATTCAATAGAAAATCCTATTTAGAAATTCACATGAGGACTCATAATGGGGCGAAACCTTACAAATGTTTGGTATGTGACCAGGCATTTAGTGTAAATAGTTCCCTTAGTTACCACATGCGTATTCATACTGGAGAGAAACCGCATAAATGTCATTTATGTACGCGAAGTTTCATCAAGCCGAGTCATCTTTACCGCCATTTACGAACTCACAGTGGAGAAAAACATCACCAATGTGATTTTTGCGGGAAGACTTTCTCTGAAAATTTCAATCTTCAAACTCATATTCGAACGCACAAGGGGGAGAAACCATTTTCTTGTCAATTGTGTCCAAAATCTTTCACCGACAGCAGTTCACTTCGTAAACATGAGAAAACGCACACTGGAGAACGCAATTACAAATGTCCAATTTGCAGCAAAATGTTTTTGAGAAATGACACTCTCAATGTTCACTTGAAAATCCACAATGGTGACAAATCATTCCGTTGTGATATTTGCCATAAAACATTTGTACAAAAAGTTAATCTTCAGAGTCATATCTTGACCCACAAAAATCGTCAACATAAATCCACTAAGAGTTTTGATAAGTCACAATCTAGTCTTGGAGAAAACAAATTATTACCCATCTCACTAGCACCAGATTCGTTACCTGAATTACCAGAAATAGTAGTAGAGGGGGGTGATATAACTCATGACATCAATTTGTATGATTCAGACAAATATAATATAAACTGAAATATATAAAGTCAAAGGAAAAATAGTAGTATTGATTTCTTTTTTCCACCCAAATCAGGCCCCGAGTTCACAAAGCATTCTCAGATTTAAGTTAAGAATTTACTGAAAATCATTCGCCTTATTTTAACTAAAATATAGCCCTTTATAAAACTTGTGTTGTTTTAATAAGAAACTATGTGCAAAGTTTTGTGTATCTGGATCAAAAATATTTCACATCAACAGTGATTAAAAGTTGATTAAATTCTTAACTTAAAGGAGCTAAGTCGCTAATATTTGGGACCTAGAAATTGACACAAATGGGTCGCAACGCATACAATAATGTAATATGAATGTATATAAATTGATTTACATTCAATCGTTTCTGTTTTTACTGTAATTTCTAATCAGTAAGGTTTGGCGAAATACGCCAGTATTCTCAATCGAATTTCAATCTGTAGCGACTGGTTATTCCAGCCTACGCCGATAGTATTTATTGGGCATGCTCTCCAGATAAGAATATAGCGTCACCGTTTGACACGACTTGTGGAATATGCCTAGCCTCGTATTTATTAGGGACTTGACAATTGTGACAATCACCTTGCACTATAACTTCGACATGTGTATATATATATAGACAGAGTTAACCAGGCAATTATGGTCAACCCCATTTATATTTCTTCAAGAGATTCCTAGAGCTTCAGATGATCATATAAGCCTAGGATACCTGTAAATAATATTTTTAAGGGTCTTTCACTCAGAATTAACCAGTTTCATTCACTGAAATATATAAAGTATTTCTTCTTTAAAGTGAAAATACTTCCGACGACGTTTGTTTGGGTTTTTTTTTCAACAAACTACTGTCAAATATATTAAAGTAGATGAGTAATTTATTGTTTTTATCTTATACATTAATTAATCATTTTGTAAATTCTTGATAACTTACATTACAATTACAACTGAATCGTATTTCAAAATAATAGTTTTTTTCCCTTTTTGAAATTTCCACGTGCAAGTCACAGTTCCAAATTGAACAGGCATTATGTAAGAGCTAAATTTGCTTGTTGCATGTCTTTTTTGGGGCCTTAAATGTTATATAAATTATTAATGAGACATTTATTAACAAATGATCATAATCAACTATCGGTGCCATTGGTTGGCTCCGATTTTAAGTAGATTAAAACGGTTCAGCCATTTAATGGTTTAATTTAAAAATGGAGAAGCGAGGCTCCAGCGCGAATGATCAATATAATAGTTACGATCAATGCACACATCTTGTCATATCTACAACCATGCATAACGTCGCTCAAAATAACGTAATTTGAATGAAATTTTCAAAATATTCATTTTAGTAAGGGAGCTAGGTTCAGGTAGTTTCAAAAATGGTGTACAAAATTTCTATCATGCTAGATGAGTGGACAGCGGTGCCCGATACTCTGAACCTTGATTCTTAAGTTGCAGGTCCCCTTCCCATTGGGGTGGGTCTGACAACGTCAAAATTTCGAGTTTAAATCGACTTTTGCGTACAATCAAAATTCGTACATAAGTCGACCAACCTAGGATGTCGCCAAAAAGACTGCTTGAGAAGACCCCCCCCCCCCCGACCCTTCCTTGCTCCCTGGAGAATACCCCCTCTACCCCCCTTAGAGATGAGTTTATTCGAAGTCCGCGTACATCATAAATTTTTTCATTAAAAGTTTAACTATTGGTCCATAACACTAACTTAAAAACACATGGTAAGGAATTTTGTACAAGATTTTCGAAACAACCTGAACCTAGCTCCCTTACTTTTTTGCATTATCTATTTTTGAAATATTATAGCGAGAAGGGCCAGCTCTTTATCTAAATCTTACATGATGCCCCATTAAGCATTTCTGTATGTATGTAAGTTTTTTTCTTGAGCGTACTAGATGTGTTTGTTTATTTGTGATAAAACAAATAATTTCAAAGTTTTAGCTGCACGCTTTCTTAACATGGAACTCCACAATACAAGCATTCATCAATAAGCAATAATTAAGTTAGTAAGACAGGGCTCGCTAACCTGGAGGTCCTGTGTTAGATCCCCGGTATTCACCAAGAAAGTTCAGGGGTGCAGGACGGGGAGCTTGGCAAGGGACAATGTATAGTCGTTCGGATAGGATGATAAACCCAAGTCCCATGTATACATAAAGATCCTTTGACAGTTGGAATTCAAAACAAGAGTAGGGCAAAATTTCTCATGGCACACTGTGTTATGTAAGCCCATCCTCATTAACCTAGTAGGTGCAGAACAGAAGGATTTTAAAATCCCATTTCTTTTGATTTCACCTCCTTAAATCTTAATATTCCCCACTTATGCCACCCAGGGAACTGGTTAGTTTGGGTAATTGCATACGCCATCCTACCGGTAAATGTTTACAGCTGGGTGAACTGGAATACAGGGATGAAGGGCAACCTTGAAGGACAATGTAAGCTGACATGTTTGACTAACTTATTGATGTTTTCTTAACTCTGACATGCCTTAAAATGTTTTAAAAATACTTCTCATCCAAGTACCCAACATGTTTTAGGCCTTGACAATGTGAAGATAGACAGACATACAACAAAACAGTTTAAAACTGCAAAATGGCTGTTTATTTGTAAAAGAGTTTACAGCATAACACCAAGGTCATCATCATATAGCAGATGATAAACCTGCTCGAACAACCATCTTCACAGCACAGGTAAAAATAATAATAATAATAATAATAATATGGGCCGATCAAAATATAGTATTTTAAATACATGTAATTAAGAATAAAACAACGCCCATTACATATGACATACATGTACTAATTTACATTATGCTAAAAGAATCGAAGCAGACCCATATATAATATAACAATTGCATATACAAAGAGAGTAAATTGTTTAAACAGAATTAAACTCTATTTTCATTTCTTATGTTTATATTGACACTCTTGTAAGGTCTAACAACATCCCAAAAACGTTTCTGCTCATCTGACCTAACTTGACCCCTTATATTTACCCAATGAAAAGATGCTTTTCATTTGGTAATAAACAGTGGCTTCCTCAGACTTGCAAGAGAGCAGACAATCAGTAGAGAATTAGATTTTATATTCAAGTTGGAATGAAATAAAGATATAATTTTAATTTGATTGTTGTTTAAACTAAGAGGAATTTAATCCATAGAGTAAACTCTCCACACTGTATTTTGTGAAGTTCTGGAAGAAAGTGAAACTAGCTATACAACCAAAGTTATACCAGCTCAACAACAGTTTATCAGTAACAGAAACATTGCTGTACATTTTAGCAAACCTGTATCATAGTTTTAGCAAATATTACTACATCACAAAGTAGAACAACACTACTGACTAATATTGGAATACATAGCAGAAATGGTCATATTGTTATAACATTGTAGTACACCTTGTTAAAGTTAATTTTAAAATGGCTACATTCAGTACATTTAATTTTAATCATAGATAGCAATTATCAAAACTAGCAACATGTTTTCAAAGATAGCATTGTAGAACATTTAATCATGGGTATACATGTATCGGAGATAGCCACATTATATTATCAACATTGTAGAGCGTTTCATAATAACTACATCATATAATAGCAAGTTTAACATTGTTGTACATTTTCTCAAGGTGACAGCAGAAATAGCAATATGATAGTAACATTTCAACATAGCAATATCAGTTACAGCAACAATTTTATTATACTTTCTCTTAAGTTATAGCAGAAATAATAACAACTGCACTTACTATTTAAATGTATAATTTTTACAAATAATTAGAATGTAAAAGCTATCTGTTGATTTGTGAACTGTACAGTAACCATTATTAATGCAATAACAATAAGTTCTCAAATTTCACTAAATGCAATACATGTAATAATATAACAATAAACTATTTTAGTACTTGTACGTGAACATCATTTTTTATGTGATTTTGTGTTACATAGAAGCATATCATAAACCTAACATTTTGGACCAAAATATATGATAGCAGCATTATATGAAAAAAATTCATCTCATAGGCTAAGTGAAGTATTCAGTAAAATGATTTTTATTTCAGACACTTAAACTGAGTGGAGTTTGACCCCTCCACCAACATTGTACTGTACAATTAATATAAGTGAATTATATAGCAATGGTGGTATGAAATATAAAAGTATGATATCTTCTATAATGAAATAGAAAAAGCTGTTTTTTTAAGTAGAAGCTATGAGCTCAAGTATTACAATATATACAAATAGTTATAATATATAGTTATATCAATATTCTTATATAGTATATATGAATTATAATCTAGGTATATATATAGTTTCATGAACATGAATGATGATATATATATGCACTTTTTGAAATCCATCGTTTCAACACATTAACTCTAGGATTCTCATCTCAATTTATTTATTTTTATGTTTGTAACTGTTTTCAAATTTGAATGAGACCAATATCCAATGTTCTGTTGCTTTTATTATAAATATCAACCAAAACATCTCTGAAATTCAGAAGTAACACTAATGAATAAACCCCCAAGAGTCTGTCTAATTACAGCAAGAAACGACAGATTTCTAAGATTGGATGATATGACCTTTCGGGCATGTTCAGATCCCCAAACCATTATGTAGAGCAGCTTGTTCTAGTATAAGGTCAGTAAAATTGCATCCAGCTGGAAGGTATACTCCAACCATCAAGCCAGCTACTCTTAACAAATGTATCAATAAATGCACAGATGAAGCCAAAAAGCTAGGGAGACAGATATTTGTAAAAGACAACCAAATTTAGCATCACAACTATGAGTATCTGTAGATATTCGCAATGTCTGGTTAAATGTATGAACAATGAGTAGTACATGTATAAAGTCAAGCATTTCTCCAAACAGTTGTTATATCATTATTCTCTAAATCAATGCATCATTTATGTGAAAATGACAACTTAACTAAAGGTACTTATAAGTTTCACAAAAACATGTGAAATTTTAATGTCCTAATAAATACACAAAAACATATTTGTGAAATTTAAATATTAAATTGATTATAATGTCCTAATAAATATGAATTGTTAATTATATTTCCTAATAAATTATTGTTAAATAAATATATAATAATAGCAGATAATGACAGTGTTTTATCTATACACACCTGAAAGTAAACGACTTCCTTAGGTATGATAAACAACAGAATTCTAAGAGAAATTTGTTCTTTGGCCACCTTGAGACAAAAACCTATGAAAGAGGAGTTAATAATATGAATAATCACAAAAGAAACAGCAGTAAATTTCACAGATGTCTAAAGCTGTTTATCTGTCCAATAACTTCATTTTGCATGCCAAGTTCTGATATTATATCTTGCATCTGTAACTGCACAACAACCAACTAACTGCATCTATCATAAATAAGAATCTTTACCATCAAGTATTTAAAGATAAAACACTTCATTTACTGAAGAGTAGCACAACCAGCAGTTCACTAACATAGTATAATAAATAATTACCAGTATGTTATCACTAAAAATAATTATATTGAATATTTTTTACTTGTCTGGAGATCAAGATCAGGTAACACACATAAAAGATCAAATTTTACAATAAATTGGAAAAGAATTTTAGCAGATTATTTAATAATGGCAATCATACACTTCAATATGTGCAAGAAATCAAGCCAACAAGTGACCCCAGAAGATTGAAATCCTGCCTGTGTCAGTAGAGAAGCAACTGTCTGTATTTTGTATATTCCTGAATAAAGCTGTTATTTTACATGTTCTAGGCATTTCAATCTTAAGTGGGATCCTATTGTAAAACTGTTGTTTATAAAAGTATAGTCTTAAAGTTAGTTTGCTGCTATGTCACCTATGTTCTAATCTGTTCTTTTCTAGTGAAATCTGCATTCTTACGTACTTCGTTAAAAGATTAATCAATATCCTATATTTTGATATGAAATAAAATTATCAGTAAATAACTTAAGTACAATTAATATATTTTGAATATCATCTAGATTATATAATAATAAATGCCATGGAATTAATAAATAAATTATATACCTATCCTATTATGTTGCTCTAATATCTAGTCTATTACAAGTATTAATAACTAGATCATCAGCCTTATATTGCTTTCTAAAATCTTTGGTTAAAAAAAACTTGTTTGAACAATATGACTTATATATTAATATCTTTTTGAGACTATTTAAAACACAGCATTAAGAGACTTGATATTATAGAATTAATACACAGACACTCAGTATTTTTGTGAACTTTTTAAGATTGAGAATAATCACTATGAATATTACACTACTGTATAAAAATATTAATTGATGTTGCAATCTAAAGCTATGTAGATGTGATCACAAAAATGTCCTTTTACTACTTATTACTATTATTATACTAAAGCTCCAACATGCCAGACCGTATTCTTATTAAAATACCATTATTATTAGTCCAAAAATTATATTTTTTACTGGCTAATTATTATTGTTTATGTTTTTGACAATTTTGTTATCTGTAGATGATCTGGCATGTTGCTGCTTTAATAAATACAATTGATAAGGCCACAAGCAATTCAGAAACTTTAAATACAAACGACAAATTTATTCAATTCAACTACGTTGTATTATTCTTACAAGCTCAATACGCTTAGAGCTCTCTTAAAAAGCACTGTGGGATATAGATGTAAAGCAATGAATGTTGGTGAGTGAAGGGTAGCCATAGATTCATTATATAATGTAAATGAGAAAATGAATTAAATTAACAATTTACAACAATTTCATATGAAATGTATAAAATATGACACATCTTTATTTTTCTATCTTCTCATTCCCGTGGGTTTACATGATTTCCACACGGAACTGACTGGTACAATAGCATCTATAGACACTGACAAATGCTTTGTAGACGTTATTTCGGAAAAACATTTACTTCCAGAATTATACCTGAAAAGCATAAAGTAATCAATTTATTAGTTTATTATTGCTATTAGGAATAGGGTCCCTGTTGTCTATCGACTAGAATGTCCAAGGTACGAATCCCAGAGTGTGAACAGAAGAATCTATGTTTCCACTTCAATAGAGTTATGAACAAGCGCAAATTATTGACTTTTTTTCTATTTTCTTTAAAATAAAAACATGTGATGTGGCCCATTTTTGATGAAGCGTCAGTATCTGAGAACTAGAATATTTTTTTTTGTGTGGCCTAATGTAGGATCTATTGTTGATTCTAGATATAAAGTTAACTTACTTAAAATATTTTTCTAATGATTTATTATTAATATATCTGGGTCCAGATCCAACCAATTTAAATACTTCCTCTGTTTCTGGTTCATACGTATATACACCACGATACTGTAACCCAGCATCACGAAATAAAATTACAAAATGTTTCGCTGTCGATCGGTTAATTTCCTGAAAGAACAATTTAATACAAAAACATTTAGATGTGTCTGTAAGCTGCTTTTAACATATTCGGCGTGACAAATATCACTTGCTGTTGATACTTGTTATCTTTAGATAATAAAAGATTAAAGCCTCCATTCTTCATTTTCATAATTAAAAAAATCGGGCGGAAAAGTATTCCTTAGATAGTAATCTAGATACTAGAATCAAAACACTTATAAGATGCCATCTTGACTTCAATATTCATGGATAGAAGAGGGTTATTCTTCAATAGTTGGTTAAGGTAGAAATGTCAAGAAATCAACAGAAAGTCTGAGAATGATTAGTTGCTCACCTCTAAGACTCTATTTTTAACATCATTATTTACAATACCAGCTAAACAACAGTGACTTATAGCATTACATATCAAATTACGATTAGACTTTTGGCTGGGTTTTACAAATAACTTGGGACCTGAAAAATATAACATAAGTTAATTTTACAAAAAAACAATAACATTTTGGGCAAATAAGTTATTTTACAAAAACAATGACATTTTGGGCAAATAATTCTTATATTTTAATTAGTTTAACACTACAATAATCATCTGCCTTTGTTCTGAGACCAACTTTCAAAAAAATGTTCTTCCTCAGCACTGATATCACAGTGATTGACTGGTATGGATAAATAACATGACATTTGGTACCAATTCCAAAGCTATGTCATGATCAAGATTGCATGTAAATTTACAGATGAATATATAATGAAATGAAATTGGGTTTATCGTCCTAATGTCTGCTCCGACTGGGTTAATGAAGATGGGCATACGACATACAGAGTGCTATGATTTTGTTTGGACAGTGGGGCTACAGCCTACTATTATAACGAATTCCAACTGTCAAGGGATATTTTATGTGCATGCCAATGTGTACACAGGGCCTTGGTTTTTCATCCCATTCAAATGACCAGACAACTGTCCTTGTCAGGCCCTCTGTCCTGCACCACTGTCAAGGGGAAATCATGCCAGAAAATCTTGATGAATTTATGGATATATATATATATATATATATATAAGAAGTACATGTATAGTATGTAAACAATGTTCCAATAATTAATATCTAAATTACATCTATACCTAAAACAGTAATATACCAAAAGCACCAAATAACATGCAACCTAAGATACTTAATGTATACACAATAATTAATTCAATAGTTATACCATATATCTAAACCAATAGTTATAATACCATAAAATCTAAACCAATAGTTACTATACCAGCTTCTAAACCAATAGCAACATTCTCAAAGAGCAGTATTTTGGCCTCACCCTATGTTAGTTACCCTTGGTAAGGAATTGAGCGATTACTGGTTGATCAGGACTGATCCTAATCTGTTATTTTGTCAGAACTAATAAAAGGCACGAAATCAAACCCAACAACCACACAAGGTCAAGGTCAAGTATTAGTTAAAGAATTTAAATGAAATTAATTAGCATCAAATCAAACTCCTTGGCACGAAATTTCATCCTTAAATTGAATTCAAAGTGAATATAAAGAAAAGACAATATTAACAGCTAATTAAATACGGTAGCTAGATTCTAACTGGCACATTCTAATTGAGAACAAGACCAGTTGGACATAGTGTCTCTTTAAAACATATTTTACGTATGTGCTAAATAACACATGGAATTGAAATACAAATTACTTAGAAGTTTATTTCTGGTGAGGGAACTATTCTAAATTGCAGCATTTGATTCCAACAAATGGTAAACTAGGATCTTCAAGCATTATAGACTGTAGAGCAGCCGCGTCATTAACACAATGGTTAGTGTATCCCTGATTGCAATTTGCTTATTGTAAGTTACAGTATATTTTTGCTCAAGATTCATAGTATTTACAATGTATTTGTCTGACTATGTGAGAAGGATGAGATATGTTATATTAATTGTGTTAGTAATATTATCATGCTTTACCAGAATAATCTGAACCTGTAGTAGATCCCGCTCCTAAATCATCTTCAAAATTCTTACCGCTTTTACCACGATTTAACCTCAATAAATCTAAAAAATATATCATAACAAATAATATTCTATATAAAATATATCATAGCAAATTATTACAAATATTCTATATAAATAATGAATGGAATATCCATATTATGTTGATAGCAAGGACAGGGCCAATCAGCATTTTTCAATAGTTTCTCCTAATTTCCACCATGTTTGAATTGATATCTGGACATTATGCAGACTTAAAATACAGATGTGACGTCATCCTTTGATGTTGGGGTAAGATTATTTCAAATAAAGATATGCGCAATGTGACAATCGTACATTATTTATACTAGATGTTGGACTAATGTGCCAATTTCAAGACATTGGTTAATATATAGATATAGCCCTTGGACTTTCGTCCTCATGCAATATAAATATCACTCAATGTCTCACCCTCAACCATTAAACCACATAGAAGGGATAACTCAAAAGGCAGGATAGGTTTTTTAGGACTGGATAATCTGCACATTATCAGGCCTACTTGCAGGCAAATCACTAAGATAATCTACAAGGGTGGAATAGTTCTATGAAATGTAGTCTATTTTCTTTACCACACAGCATTTGCTTGAAATAAAGTGGGGTTGGATGGCTGAATGGCTAGCGCGTGTGCTCTGTCTTATAAAGTCTGTCATTAAGTCAATTCCCCGGTTGACAAGGAGAAGGGTCGCCTGTTCAACCTCGTGGGTTTCCTCTGGGTCCTCTGGTTTCCTCCCACTTCTAAAGACCCCTACGCACTAGCGAATTATTAAAATTAAAATTGAACAATATGTTAGTCCCGAAATGACCTAGTTTGTGTCGAGTGGACGTTAAACGCTCTCTCTCTCTTGAAATAAAGTTATAGATGCTGACTTTGGGTTGAAGAAAAATGTAGGGATGTATTTAATAATCACAGCCTTATATCTTTAAACATAATTTGTAGTCCAAGAGATATAGAGAATCTCCTACGAGTCTTTTTTGATATCAAAAAATATCAACACAATTCGATAACGTAACAAAAACGAGGCTCTGCCGAGTTTTTTTTTTTTTACTTTATCGATGAGTGTTGATATTTTTAGATATCAAAAAAGACGAGTTGGAGATTTTATTTATCACCCAATCCTTTCTTACATGCACAAATATAATTCTTTGCTGTAGATTTCACTTTTACTGAACCTGATTACATTACGGCGTAGTGATACATCATTTTTTGACAGCAATTCAACCATTGCAAAGTCCTTTATATTGACCCAGTGTTTCCATCACGGTCAATTAAATAAAAATAGTTCATTTTTAATAATAAAAAAAAGTTACTTTTAATAAGAAATGAACTGTTCTTTGAAAATAAAAAAGTAGGAGATATCGCAGTAGATTATGAAATATATCACACAAGCGATATCCACTGTAGAATGTATTATTGGGTGATAAATTGTATATGCACACACAGGTAAAAACTACTATGCTTGTTCAAATATTGTTAACTGATCTGCCCTCCTGTAGTCCTTCTACAACTGCATATAGTCTTGTTTACCAGTCCATCTTAATAACATATTTACCTGGTGAAGGGGGTCGTCTGTAGGTAGCACCACCTTGTCCGTTTTGATTTAATGTATTACAAGAAACTACAAAACAGAAAAAACACCATACATATATTTTTCTATGTTCATTTTGTATCTCTAAAACCATCTCTTCCCTTTCCTACATGTTCAAAGTTCTGTTCAACATCAATAAAAACAAAATTTGATGATGTCTAGTTGAAATTGTTTAGAATGTTTATATAGCAAGTGAAACATACAGTGCTTAAAGCAAAGTTAATAAAGTTTGTTCCATCACAGTATTTTAAAATTAATGTTGAAATAAAAGCATTTCCAAAACCCATCTAAAAGCTGAATAACGCACATTAAGCTGAAGGCAACTAAGCCATTTGAAGTTTGATTTAATATCCTACACTGGATCTAAACTGAAATTTAATCATTTTTTCATGAAACTTTATGTAAAATTCAATATCTTTATAATCAATGCCATCACAGCATGAAGGTATGTTTTGATACTTTTATAGAATTCTGGTATTACAGTATGAGAGAGCTAATCAAATCATACAAATTCAAGATGCAATACATGTTATTTTTTTTTTTCATGCTCAGAATGCTGACATGCCAAATTTCTGTCAATGATCATGTTTGATTTCCCAAATAAGACAGCAATACATATTGCACAGGGCCATAACATTGTTTCTCAACTCAAGAATTACAACTACTGGTACTAAAATTTGTAACTCACAGTATGTCTAAAATATTTGAGTATGATTTTGGGATTTTGTTGACGCAAGATACATTATTCAAGGGCTAAATTTACCTATTGCAGGTCATTTTTAGGCCATAAATGTTTTATAAATTATTGTTTAGATATTTATTAACATGATCAACTCTCGATGCCACTGGATGCTCGAGATTTTAACTAGATTAGAACAGTTCGACCATTTAAAGATTTAATAAAAAAATGGAAAAGTGAGGCTAAGACTCAAATATACCGGTACCGTGTTTACGATAATAAAAGATCAATGCACATATCTTGTCAAAACTACAAACAGTGATAAATTGGCTCAAAATAAAGTAATTTGAATGAAATTTTCAATACATTCATTTTGCATTATCTATTTTTGAACTATTAGAGCACGAATGGCCATCTCTTTATCTAAATCTTACATAATGTATCTTTTTAAGGTAATTGTTGTTATAAATTTTATTTTGAGTTGACTTACGGTACCATCTGAGAGAGTTTTATGGCTTTGGGTCCAATTTCATAAAGCACTAATAATTAAACTTACATAAATATAACCCAAACATTTTATTATACAGCTCTATCAAAAATAATGTGTGCATAACATTACATATGTTTCATGAATCAGGCAATAGCAAAATGGCCGAAGTATAAGACATCTGTATTATATGTATGTACAAATGTAATTATACATGGTAACAGCCACAGAAATCTCAACATGACATTGAACACAGTTTCAAGCTAGCAGAAAATTACCTGTCACAAAAATAAAACACCCATCTAATTGTAGGGTAAGCCTACTTTCAAAATCTACATTACTGAAAAATCGACTTTTATTTTTTGGGACAGGTATTTTTTTTCCAGCTGAGAGTACAAAAGGTGTGCCAAATATCATCAACAAGGGACATAATCATAAATTTGATAAAATGAAAAAAGACCTCAGATAAGAGTGTTCAAAGTTTTAGAGTGGGATGGATGGTCGAATTATCCTCAAAGAATCTTATCTCTATTAAATACGTTTAAAACAATGGTTATTTACACAATTGAGAACAGACTTATTAGACTAATGGGGAGATAACTGGGCACACCTGTTGTTAAAATACCAACCTGCTTTACGCATTTTAGTAGTAGGCAATCGTGAAGGTAGTCGTAAAGGTCTAGGATGTGAAGTAGGCGGGACTGAAACAACCAGACAAAATGCAACCAAATCATCAAAAAATAAAAAAGAAAGCAAATCAAAAATAGCCAATGAAGCAGTGAAAAAAGAAAATATACCAATCACATTCTGCTTTGAAATAATAGGTTTTTAAAAACGACCATATTAATATTACAGTCTAAACTACCGGTGAATAGTGTAAGCACTCACATCAAGTTAAAAGAATGTGGATGTCTACAATTAAGTTAATTTCACTTATACTCTTTTAAATTGAGTATTTGAATAATTTTAAAATTGAACTTTGAGTTCATCAAAATAACATTGAACTTTGAGTAAATGAGACAAAAGCCTATCATCTTCTTTAAGTGCACTTAAATTATTATACGACAGACTTTCAATTCAAGTTCACAAGACTTTGCAATGTACAATTAAAAGAAATATGTTATGAATAACAATAGAATGTGTTGGTATATTTTTATAATTAGTTAGTGAGATGAGAGAGAGAATCAGTTGGTATATAGATAGTGTTGATATTACACTAATTCTACGACTCATCAGGGGACCACAACCACAGCTATTTATTTTGCTGAGAATCTTCTAACACAGTTTCTATACTTTACAAGCATAGAAATCTATGATAAAACTCAAGATCTTATTTGAAAAATTGCTCTGTTCTACATCCTTGAAGATTATAGCAATTTTTTTTAGGCCTAAAAGATACCTGCAAATATGTGCTTTTAGGATGTTCACAGTATTCAGGAATACTTAGTATTAAAAACATTTGAAAACATTTTTCAATTGATCACCCACGGGTGTAAAAGATTCTCAGAATAATAAAGCATTATTTTGGTAGCCCAAGAAATAAGTTTATTATATTAAGATGTTCAAATAACAACAGTTTCACTTGTTATGTACAGTTTTAATTAAAGTCTAATTAAATTTTGATCATACTTTTGTTTGTAATGTTAGTTGTAGGTCACCAAAATTAAAAGTTGGATGAAACAAACACATAATGTTAATTAGACCATACATAAAACCCCAATTGTCTGGATCACTGGCAATCATGTTTTGTTGGGGTTTTTATTTTGTTTTTTGTTGGTTTTGTTTTTGGGGGGGGGGCAAACTCAACAGTATCTGAGAATCAGACTATTTGATATAGTTTTATAATAAAAGTGAAGATATGAGTTGTTTGAACATCAGATAAACAGACTAATATACATGATAGAGTGAATCTATTTATATCTGAAGTAGAGAGATGAAATAAACCACACCCAAAACATGGATCTTCCCATCCTACAGTATGAATGTGACAATGTACTAATGCATTGTTTCATCTAAGCTTCAACTTCAGGTACCTCCATATTGTTATGAAGGTAACTTATGACACTACCATACATGTAGATAAGAATTTAATCCATTAGCATAGTTCATGTCTTAGTGATGTCTAGACATAACAGCATTTGCAGGACTTGTAGCATTTGCATCTTGGTAAGCAAACGTTCACTAACCAGGGCCCTTATTCACGAAAACTTAAACTAAGATACAATCGAAATTTTAAGAAATACTGCAATTAGATTGGCTGACCAGTAAAATCAATTTGCATATATCCAATTTGCATATTGGTCAGCCAATCGAATTGCAGTATTTCTTAAAATTTCAATTGTATCTTAGTTTAAGTTTTCATGAATAAAGGCCTAGTGTAACAATTTCAAACTGACCATAAGGTACGGTTGATTCACATAAAAAATAATATAATCAGCCCCAAATTATGGATTCCCTCCCCCTTGGATCAGTTTGAATAAGAGTTAAAAGGTTAAAGAAAGATGAATAAAGGAAGAATAAAAGCTGAATTGGATCAATGATATTTTTTTCCCAGACTACAGAAAGCTAAAAAAAATTTAAGTTAGAAAGTAGCATCAAATTTGATACATTTTTTTAAAATAAAAACACATTCCAGTACCGGCAAGCATCTTTTGATGAGAAAACTTTCTTCATAAAATTTCTCATTCCAAGCATCCTCTAAAAAGTTATATGTTTTAAAATTCTTGAAATCCAATTTAACCTCTAATAATTTACAAATATAGTTCACATTTTGAAAGATGCACAAAAATCAGATTAATAGTAGTAGGAATTCTATACCACCCAACCCAAGATGCTGTAAAATAAAAAATTAATAGCAAAAATCATAATTCTAATTCTAACAAAACCAAACCTTATAAATAAATGAAATTAAATTTAGTGTCAAACATGCAGGGTTTAAAATCTAAATAAACATGATATTTATATATATGCAAATTAAAAACAAAACAAGATTTAGCAAAATAGTTGAAGGTCAGGGACCAAACTAAAAATAACCCTTTCACCCCTAAAAAAACAAAAAATCTTGTTGAAAATTAAGAAAATAAATGGGCTAACCTCCCCAGTTACAGAAATTATGTTGAAAACACCAAGCAACCGATCTTTTGCTTATCACAAATTGAATCCCAACCCTTCCACCCTCCAAAATTTTAAAATTTCACACAAACCACAGGCTAATCAAATCAAAAAGGGTATCTGAATTGATAACCATTTTCCAAACGTTAAACAAGGGCCACAACTCTGATTCCTACCTCCAGATTCCCCAGATGTGGACAGATCTTCTTGAGAGCTATTTTTAGAACTGGAATCATCTTTCGGACGTACAAACATTGACTTGGGTCGAGCACGGGGTGTTTTTGCTGGTGTCTTTGCTGGCCGAGAAACGACACCATTCTGTTCGTCTTCCTTCTCTTTCTTTTTCTGTAGATATTGTTGAAATATCTGATCCCGTCGTAACTTCTCCTCCGCCTTCTTTTTCTCTGCTTCCTCTTGTTTTAACCTGAATAATTGAATACAGAAAAAATATAAATAGACAACCAACGATAACATAATTATTATATTGAGACTAACAACATGGACAACCTATGACAACATCATTATTATATTGTGACAAACATGATAATTTATTTCTGAAAGTAAACAAAGTTGGATTATTTCCATCTTGGTATAACCATGGTCCTAGAAGAAGATCGTCCATCTATTTTCATATTCTAACAAACGAGAGACAGCAATGGCACCACCTGGTATCAACTTTTAGATGAATTCGAAGTGCAGGTGCTACACTTAATCAAAGCATGTCTCAGCATTGATGTCATCAATATTGTCAGAGCTTTCAATACAGTGTCTTCAAGCAGAGATAACAATAGTTTATACAACTGACCACAGTCATTGGTTATAACAAGATGGATAACAAAATTGATCAGTCAAACTATGCAGTTATAGTTGGTTCAAACTAAAATATTTCTGTCAAATATAAATCAGTATCTTTCCAAATTATATGTTTCCGCATTTAATAGCTACATTCAATCGGTCACTTATTTTCAAATTTTGGTACAATTTAATTCCCATGAACTTTGTTTAACAAAATGTCAATATTTATAAGCTTAATATTTAAAATGATATTTTACCAGAATGTTGGTAATTTGATTAAAGCTTATGTTGAGTACAAAAAAAAGAGAAACATTTTACAGCCTTGGGGCCAAAATTCCAAAAATAATTTCAGGCAGCTAACTTGTGGTTTTGGTGTTCTACAAGTAAATGCAAGGATATAAATATTCATAATGCAATTGGTCAAAGAGTAGGGGCATATTTTTAAATCCCTTACCTTTTATCTGTTGAAAATTCTTACAGATAAAAGTACTCTTAACACTGTACAGTTGACAGATTTTGCTCTTTGAGTCTATTGTAGTAGGTAGGTGTCTTATATATTAAAATATTTCATTTCTGATTTGCTATATTCATAAATTTTTTATTTATGAATTTTTGGCAAGAAACCAGTCTAACTACAAGATACCTAAAGAACCAAATCTGGACAATAATAAAGGGTTAACAGTATTTTTATGAATTGAAAACAGATAAGAATATCTAAGGACTAAAGAAGTTTTAACAAATAAGGTCTCAAGCAATGGCATATACTTGTTAGATTTGATCACATTGTATTTAAATTAAATCTTTATATATAATCATTCAAGAAATCAACAGTTTATTATATCATCTTAATATTTTATTTAACAAAACAAAAATGTAATTGTGCAACAAAATATATAACTTTAAACTTAAAGCCGCAATGCGCCAGACAGCCAATAATCCTTGTTCTTTTGATAGTAATCTAAATGATTAAAGCAAAGACGTGTATTAGAGGCTATCTTGTGCTTGATGATCGTGGATATAAGTATCGTTCAGGCGCTGGATAACACAAAACTCAGAGAATTTGGGATATTGTGCCTTAATGTACACAGATTTCCTTCATTTACTGAAATTAAATGTTGTTTTTCTGATGAAATCTTTTTGGTGCAGGTTTTAGATTTTATGAAAGACAATGCAATTAGTTTAAAATAAAATATATCAGTTCAGTCAAAACTACATCTCCATTCATATTAAAGAATTATTTATAATATAATAATGATTTACTTTATTCAATAGACGTGCTAATCGATGTAAAAGTATAAAAATTAAATCTTTGGCATCAAATCATATTACATTAGTAACAATAAATAATAAAAAAAAATTTCAAAATTTATTTGCTAAAAATTTCAAAATTCATATGCTAAAAATTTCAAAATTTGTTTGCTAAAAATTTCAATCAAATAAAATATTTTCAATATAATAAATCTTTTTTATTAATAAAACTGTTTGTAACCTCTGCACTACAAAACTTCTACATTTACATGCTTTATACTAACGAGGTTCCTTGTACTAACAGTATGATAATACTTTAAAGAATTTTGTTGGGCAGAGGTCCATAAACTGTGCAACGGGTTAATAGAAAATGCAAAGTGACTGTCAAAGACATGGATGATCCCCATTGTTCCTCCAACCAAATCAGTCTACAATTTTTAATAGAGCAGCCATTCTTTGACGTGTCACTAATCTTAAATAATTAAAAACTTTAAAAATTTTACCAAATAATCCTACAAAACAAGAATAAAGTAAGGATAAAGTTTAAAAAATAATCTTAAAGAAAATAATAAATCAAGGAAATAATATGAATTGTAATAATCATATAATCTTATTTTTATTCTCAATACAAATAGAAAGAGTGCAAAAATCTAACAAGGAGAGAAATAATCAAAAATCGTAAAATGTAGAATTCTTAAAGAGGCATTATCACTTTAAACAAGAAAAGTAAAATAATTAATTTTACATAATATTGTATTAAAATTAACCCTCAATGTTTAATCCACATAAGACCAAACTTTTGTTGGTTTTTTACATTTTTAATGTTGTTTAGATTTACATTCCAGCATGGTCTAACACTGTCTTTAAGGTTATTATGTTCATCTGACCCAATCTGACCTCACGTTTAGTCAATAAGATATATTTCCTTTGGCAATAGGCTTTAATTACAGTGTAAGTTAATTAATGAAGATGATTTCCAAATGCTAATACCTCTTTAAAATGAACAGAAAAAAAAATGTACATTTTTCTTAGTCTATAGAAAAATTTGAAAATTTGATAAAACAATTTTAACTGTTACCTTTCTTTCTCTTTACGTCTAGCATTTTCGGCTTCTTTTTCAAGCCTCTTTTTCTCTGCTTCTTGCAGTCTGCGAGTCTGCAACTGTTGTAATTTTTCTCGTTTTAACAGCATTTCTTGTTGTTCTTTCTATAAAACAGAAGTAGATATAATATAATCTATGATCAACACTCTAAATGTAACACTGAGAACAACTTCATCTAAGGTCGTTTTCATTATTCAAATTAAAAATATATCCTGAAACAACTTACTGAATCAACATCATCAGCTAGTACAAAGCCATCTGGAGCATCATGTACTTGATTAGGTACTGGTACAACAGGCGCAACAGGAGTAGGGTCAGCTCGAGGTCGCGTGGGCTCAACTTGAGGTGGTGTAGGTTCGACAGTTGGTGATGGTTCTTTGCGCGTAGCAGGTGCTGGCGATTCATCTCGGCCTTTCCCACGTTTTAATCTTTCTTTACCTAATTTAGGTTTTGATCGTTTCGGTGTTTCTCCACCGAATGACACAAAAAATCCTTCATTTTCACCTAAAAATAGAAATAAATGTCTATAATATCACATCATACTTAAGTAAGTTTTGAACGCCAAGGGATGAAGTATTTGTGCATTACAGTTACACTCTTTGACAAAATGTAAGACCTTTCAAACTGAGAGTGAAGTGAAGGTTTTGGTCATACGAACAAGAGACTTCACCAAGCATGTGGTGTCCAGTTTGAACTAAATTTCATTTGCGTTATAAACCTTTTTTGTTCAGTAAAATGAAAGGAAATGTTTAAAGATTTTCTTGAATGTAACTGCAAATTGAGCACATTCAAGGTTGATTTAACTGCATAGTCAAATGATTTAAATTACAAAAATAGATTTTAGTGATGGCCAAATTTGGGATGCTTTTGATATTTGATATTGTTCATTATTGTAGCAAGTTAGCAACAGTACATAAAAATCCAGTCTAAGTCTTGATTGTCCATTTTATTGTTAAATTTTTAAATCTTGCGCGAGTGTTCCAATCCATTTGAATCTCGGCCATCCGATAATCTAGAGAGTAAATTATAGTAGGCTTGTCATGTGAATAATAAATAGATTATATAACATATGAAATCAAACTAAAGACCTGCAATAGGCAGATTTAACTCTTTACATAATGAATCTTTAAAGGAGCTAAATCGCTCTAACATTTGGGACCTAGAAATTGACAAAAGTGGGTCGCAACGCATATAATACTGTAGTATGAATGTATATAAACTGATTTACATTCAATGGTTTCCGTTTTTACTCCAATTTCAAATCAGTTATGTTCGGCGAAATAAGCCAGCAGTCTCAAGTGACTGCAGATTTCTAGCGTCTGGTTATTCCAGTCTACATACGCCGTTTGATTTGGTGCAATGTGTCTAGCCTCGTCCCTTGAGTCTCTTGATACAACTCTGACCGAAGAGGCATTATGGTACACGATTCGTGTACCAATGGTAAAATGTTTATTTTGTCTTAAATATTGGATATCAAAAGCCCATCTTTTTCCGGTAAGATCACAACATGAATGTTGATTTAATGTGACAAATAAATCGTGTTTTCAATGTTGAAGATTTTGGATGATATTGAGTTAGAGACTTAGCTACTTTAAGTGACTATATTATTGGTTTTTATTAGCAATACCTGTCGTATTTGCGTCCTCTTCCCCATCAGTTGATCTAGGTGGTGTATCGTAACCAATAGGTGAATCTATAGCTGTATCAGCAGGAAGATCTCGTGGTAGAGATGTATCACGTGTTGTTTGTCCACCATTATATTCTGTTAACATAGGGGGCGCTACTGATGGGAAATCATCCTGTTGACTGTAACAATCAGGTAAACCTAAAACAGACCGAACAATCAAATTAATTGTAACTTCAGGACATAGAACCAACAGTTGCCAGGCAAGATACTGAGATATTTGGGATGTAAAGATATATTTCAAGTTTCATCACAATCGGATAAAAAATGTGACTTCTAGAGGGTTCACAACCTTGGTAAGGTATTACATCATTTTACACTATTTGCATACAAGGAGCGGCCATTTTGTCCGTCAGTTTGGAATAGATTTTTACGAAATTCGAACTCAACTTTCATTCATGTGTAACAGTGATTAGTGGGTCCACAAGCTAAAAATGTGATTTTTCCAACAATCAGAGGCCATACAGGAAATTACATTCAGATATACACGATTATCAAAAGGAACCAAGATCTTTGTGATATAAACATAAATCTAAACTTTCATCAAAATCGGATCAAAACTGTGACCTTTAGAAGGTCCACAACCTTGATATACAATACACTATATGGGGGGTCATTTTGTCAGGCAGTTTTGTTTCAATCTTCCTGAAATTCAAATTCAACCTTCATTATGGAAGAATGGTGATATATTCAAACGTGTTTTTAAATCCGATTATAATTGTGACCTCTAGAGGGACAAGCTAAAAACGTGATTTTTCGTAACATCAGGGGCCATAATTCAGGAAGTTATGATCCAATATGCGCGAATATCGAAAAGAACCAAGATCTTTGTGTTATAAACATGCATTTCAAGTTTCATCAAAATCAGGTGAAATTGTGACCTCTAGGGTGTCCACAAGCTAAAAACGGCATTTTTCGTACAACCAGGGGCCATAAACCATGAAGTTATTATCCGATATATGCCAATATCAAATGGAACCAAGATCTTTGGGAGATTGACTTATATTTCAAGTTTCGTCAAAATCGGATATAAATTGTGACCTGTAGAGTCACAGGGGCAATGGCATAATACATCCACATGAAAATGTGTGTGTATTAAAAGCAAATAACAATTTAATTGAGAAAAATAAGAGAAAATGAAATGGGTTTTAACATCCATTTAGTACTAATGGGGTCATTTCGGTACTAACATATAGTACATTATTATTTCAATAATTAACTTGCGTAGTGGTTTTTAATTAGCAGTGGAAGGAAATAAGAGGAACCCTTGCCTGCGAACTCAAATAAAATTTTTTTGGTTCCTCCAAACATTTCTTGTGAATTAGATGTTTCAAAGTTTAACGTTCTAATAATTATTTGCTGAGATTATGCATGATTCAGTCATTTTCTAGAAGCTATCTGATCTGGACACTGACATATTTATCTTTTTCTCATATCTAATTTCATTTCTAAATTAGACAGTATTCAAGTTACATGTAGACTCTTACCTTCCAGTGCCGCAGCTAGATTTGAAGACGTATATCCTGTAGGTTGTCGAGATGTTTCAGAAACCTTCCACTGACTTCTGGGTAATGTCTGGCTCTGGTAAGTTCTATCTGGTATTGATTGTCTGGAACTTGTATGTCCTGGATGAGGCAAGGTATGGGCTGCTTGTGGATGATGGACAGAACTGGGTTGAGAATCAGGAGGTGATTTTGCGGATTTTATCTGCTCATGTTGCAGCGATAACCTCGCAATTTCTCCTTGGAGCTCTGTGAGACTATAATTCAACCTATCTAAAGACCCTTCATAATCTTCAAATGACTGATGATCCCCCTTTCCTTGGGAGGAATGATCTGAACCCTCCATAGCATTAATTTTATGAGGAACAGGTGATTGGGTTAAAGAGCGCGACTCTTCACGACTATCTCTACGACTAGGATAACTGTCACGCCTCTCTGGTAAACTCTGTGATGATGTTGACATTTCATCATCTTTAAACCATTTTTTCTTTACGTTGTCAATAGTGTGTTGAATATCATCACGTGAAAAATTATTTTTAGAAGCAGCAGCAGCACCTGATGGATTTGGAACATCGACTAAAGTTGTCGGCCTATGAGGTTCAGTTTGTGGACTAGATTCACCTAGCAACGACCTTTGACCTGGCAGAGACATTTGTCCCAAGCGTTCCCGGACATCAGCAGCCAGACGTTGACTGTGTGAAGGCTCCGGCTCTTCCTCTTGGATACTACCATCTTTATCCGGCAGATGTTTGGACACAACTTGAAGAAACGCAGCTTTTCCCATTCTCTGTCGCAGTCTTTGATGTTGTAACTCTGTACGATGTTTCTTTCGTTCGATTTCTTTTCTCTTTTCATCTAGCTTCATCTTCAGCGACATTAACTCTGTTGCTAGTGGTTGACTTGGGCTATCGATATCCTCCACCCTGGAATTGTTCTGATTCTGATTGCTTGATCTTTGAGCACTCTGTTGCCATGTTGTTTCATTAGGTAACGCAGCAAAGGACGTCTTTTTTGCAGCATCTTGTTGTTTGTTGAGAAAGGCTGATTTCAACGGAGAATGAGTTGGACTTGCTTCTTGACCATGCTGCATATACACCAACCCAGAGTTATCCACTTGTCCATATGTCTCTTTCAACCGTTTAATCTCCGCGAAATTTGTTGTATGGGGTTTCTTTGATCGATCAATAATGCTCGTCATGTTTGGAGGAGGAAGTTTTTCTGTGATTAGAATTGGTGCTGGTTTCGATTGTGAACTTGAGGTTGACGAACCAGACTGATCCCCATTTTTCATCTCCACAGCTTCCCTGGCTTTATGGTCGTAGTGGATTTTGTGAGACTCATGGTCAGAAAAGTCTCCAGAACTTCTACTACTAGTCACGCTGCCTTCACGAGACACCAAACGACGAAATTCTTCAGAACCCTCCACAACCGGAATTCCTGCAGCTCGAGCACTATGAAGGGTGTGAACTTGACCTGGTATTGTATAACTTGCAGTAACCTCCCCTTCTTCAGCAACTTGGGAATTCATGTAAAAAGATTCTGGTTCCTTTTTGCCCGACCCATTCGACTCAGAACTTTTCCATGAAAGTTGATCATCTGGAAAGGGGGTAACTAGCATATCTTCTGCAGCTGGGGATACAGAAGAGAATGGGGATTTTTTCTTCGGTTTTGTTGGAGATGTTACCTTTTTACGACCATGTCCTCGTTCTTCTGCTTTTGAGTGATTACTGACTTTCTCTTTTGATGTCTTTAATCGAGCGGGTGTTAACGGTTCTTGGTGATTGTTGGGATTTGAGGGGAGAACGGACACTCGTGATCGTGAACTGTTGGATGTTACGCTTTCTATTTCCATATAATCCGGATGACTTGGATCCATAACGTTTGGCTGTCGTGACTGTCTCGGCGTCATACTCTTATCCAAATCTCCTAAATCTATGTAGGTATCGGAAAAACTTTCATGGACTTCTGAGTCTATAGAAACATTAGCTAGCAAGGCTTTATCTCTACTATCTCTATCAGTACTGGCAAACCTGAAAAATATCAATCAATGAAACACAAATTATATCCCTAGTCTAAGAATATAACCATATATCATCAAGGATAGGACAGAAAACATTTTTAATTGTTTTAATTTTTAATATAATTTTTCTACACAGGTGTAGCTATTAATGGACCTGACAGGTGTTATAAATCAGCCTTACTCAATCTTAAGTCCTTGGAGGTCTGTGACCGTTGGCATAAAAATAATAATAAATCTGCCATGATTTAACTGCATCGTTAGAACTTACATTTTTAATTTAAATTGTTAAAATAATTTGAGACTAAGTACAGTTGAGATATATTTGTAGACATTTAGACTGTCAATTTTAAAACAGTTTTATTAAACACTCGTGAAAAATCTTAGGTGCACAAATCTTAACCTCAGTATATTATTTTTTAAAAAAATGTTTTATTTTGCAAGGGTGACAATGCCCCTTTACCTCATTAATTACCTGTACTGATGTACATGTAGCTGTTTAATAAGTATTGCACACTAATATTTGAAGACTAGATCAAATAAGTAAAATGGTTGTTGCACTACATTATGTATTTCAAGCTACCAATCCATTTCAATCTGTGTACCAGTATTTTAGAAACACGGGAGATAACTCCAATCACTTATTAAATATCACTTATTAAAAGGAGCAATTAGAAGTAAACTCAGAATTTGACTGAAGCCTACTTGGTCATAATTATGACTGTTTAATAAAAGATTGATTTCATTCTATAATAGATCATATAATAGATCATATTTTAGCTGAAAGTGAAAGTCACTCAAGTACCATACACAAGATAAACAACATTAAAACATGCATGAAGATAAAGATAGAGAGCATGCATCTCCCCACCCACCCCACACCACAAAACTCATATATATCATCGGTGGGGAGTCAATATTTTACAAAATTCACACTTTTGCTTCTAACTTTATGACTTCCAAAAGTATTACAAACCGAAAGTAGTGAATATTGTTTTAAGGTTAGTTACATATCTGTTGAAATTAAGCCATTAAAACAGTAAATCTATCACCGAGATACATCTTTACTGTATGAAACTATAAATTACTAATTTTCACTCCTTATTTCAGCCCTGAATGTTAAGCCTGATTTGTACTACTACACGTACACTGCTTAATATAAAAATATTTTAGAAAATCTATAAAAATACAAAATTTTGTTTGGTATCACAATTCCTGACTGCTAAGCAATTTGCAAAACCCAGATATGACTTTTTGACTCTGCAGCGACAAAATATACTTTTATAAAAAAAATTAATACAAAATTAAATTTTATCAATTACATGTAAACTAAAATGCACAATAATATAATATTTAAAAACAAAAAAACACTATTACTAATAAAGTTTTTTAATTGAAGGAAAAAAATGACAGGATATATATCTTCCACAGCATAAAAGGATAGAAAAAATAAATAGAAAATTTAAAAAACTACTAGTTTTTGGAGATAAACCAAACAATAGAAAGACTTAAGTTGAGATTAGTGTATGATTTTTAAACCTTTGTTTAGAACTAGGTAGTTTAGTAGTAGATGGCTTTTGATGTGGAGAATCTTGCCAAGCTAGCAGCGAAAGCGATTCCTCAATGACTTGCTTATCTCGAGGTCCAGCCAATGACTGAGCTCGTCGAGAACCTCGTATGGATGTCGGCCTCGGTATATGTGCCCCGTCATCTTTAGAATATCTCGGAAGTTTTGTTTTCTCCACGGATTGACGTCTTTGTAAGAGAGGAAGGCGACTGCCCCTTTCACTTCTGTTTAGAAATTAGATAATTCATTTTATGATACAGGTTTTATGACATAAATAGCACACTGAATGGGCAGATTTTGGGACCATGACAACTGAAACAATCTATTCTTCAGTTGTGTCAGACTATTTTAATACCAAATTTCCAATTAAAAGTTACAGCCAACACTATCACATAATGTATTAAACTAGCACAAAAGATTGTATAAGTATTCAATAATGCACAAAGTTGTTTTTCAAAGATAGTTTTGATCTTAATACATAATTTATCTACATTTGAATTCATCAATGAAACCACAAACAACCCAATTAATGACCCTGGGCAACTTAAATAAATTAAGCAAAATAAGTGAAACGGATGCTGGCTGGTCACTGGTAAAAAAAAGTAATGAAAACAGCAGGCAGGAGGTAGGGTAAATGACAACATCTCTAGCCACAGCATGCTGACTGGGCTGTTCAATTACGACATTTAAACGATCATGCATTTATAAACATTTGATTTAATTTCACTCTTTAAAAGAAATGATTTTGTGTATAAATTTATTGTGAAAATTTATATAGCTTTGTTCTGGATTGAACTTAGATGCAATGATTCAAATACAGGAGCCATTTCAAAATAATCTCTGAAAACAGCAAGATCTTAATTTGAATTATTAAAGTCACGGGATCTGTATTTGATCAGACTGCTTTTTGGTACAGTTGAATTTTGACATACAGTATGCAGACTAGATTTAATATAACTTCATAAATACATTTAATCAACAAAACAGATCCCAAAAGTAACTTTATTATTGACAGTATCAAAATTTCATGTTTACTTTGAATTCTTAGTTAGTAGTACCAAGCCCAAGTTGTAATAAATAATTACTAATGTCTTAGCCATGTCGTTTGGTAAAAATCTGACACATCACTATTTCAGTCATCTACAAACTTATAGGCAATTTGCTTTCATATTCTCAATCCCATCTATATATCAAGCTGATATTACACTTTAGCGTCCATTTTCTCCTCAAGAGGAAACTATTCTAGGGATATTAGATTTGCTGGAGTAAGATTATTCAATAGTGAACACATAGTTTACCCTTGTCTGATTTATGATTACCAAACAAAATGGCCGAGACAGTTTACTTAGAGTTATTTAAATGTTTTATACTCCTGACAAAATACAACTGTGTTACTTTATTATCCTGTCATTTGTAAATTCTATAAAATTACTTTATAAATAATCAACAATATCTTACGTAGGACTAGGTGCTGTTCTATTTATATCTTGGCCACTACGCCGACTCTCATCTGCTGTTTTCTGAAAACTTTTTTTCGTAGCACTACTGACAGAAGGGGTTCCTCCATTTTTAACTGAAAATAAAAAGTTATATGTATTGTAAAATCTGTCTCCAGCATTCACCACAGGGTCTTGTTTCACACGGCACAGAATAGGTGACGTTTATAATGAGTAAAATGAACAGTAGTCTGGACAGCAGTATATATCCACTTCTGCCGAGAGCCATCCCACACAGTATTGTGTGAAAAGCTCTTAGAAACCTTTCTTCTAGTCCTGTGAGCACTAAAACACTTTTTATGTATTTTTTGGGATGTGCTGTCTTACTAATTTGATGCTCTATTTAGTAACGGTAATTGGAATTCACGTTTATAAACAACAAACAACTAAACAAGGGAGGAAAACCCAGTTAGGATACGACTTCAAGACATCTCTGAGCTAGATGTCTCCACTTCAAGATGGATATAAACAAACCTATTCTTAGTCATGTACAATTGTAGGTTTGAATCCATGACTTGCTTAGATGACCGACATCTCATCAAAGGTGTAATGCATTGGAAAATTTGGACACACCATATCTTCAAATCATTGTTACCCCCTTGCTTCATAAACCTAAAATACTTACCATCAGACATTTCTTGATCATTCTGTGTTGATCTTTGTACACATGATGCTGGATTTATCTCAAACCAATAAAATAAATCAGCAATAAATGCTAAAATATTCTCCTTCATTTTATTATTACTGTATAACAAGTCCTCGTACGTAAAATGAAAACATGATAGAGGTAAATGATTTTCACAGAAAGTTCTCACTAAACGTAAATTATATAACGAATCAGCTATTCCAAGATTTTCTTTTAAACAAATATCTGAAAGGAAAGTAAAAGTATTTTAAATATCCATACAAATATATATTTATAATTATATAAGCAAGCCAGTGAGGTTAAAACATTTACTTAGTGAACATTTACACAAGTTGGAACATTCTAGCTCAATTAGAAGCAGGGTTATAGTGTGACAGGCAGACAGAATATAATTTATAGTCCCCTGCTTTCTTTTGAAAGATGGGTACAATTATTAGCCACAAACAAACTCTGTTATAGTTGATGGTTTGTACTATGTCAACTTTCAATATGATTTTTGATATCCCTGAAAATATTATCTTGCCAGTCAGTTTAATGACAAACAAAGACAGTCAAAATGAAAGGCGTGAAATATATATTTCATCTTGGAATTACCCATTGAGGTGCTACTATTTTAGTTACCCTTAGTAAGGATAGAACCATCACTGTCATATTACCGGACAATCATAACAATTTACACTTAAACATGCATCATACAAGAGCTAAATCTGCCTATTGCAGGTCTTTCTTTAGGCCTGAAATGTTATCTAAATTATTAATTAGACATCAATTAACTTATCCAGACCATAATCAACTCCCAAAGTCAATGCTAGCCTGCGATATTTACTGGATTAGGATCGGTTTTGCTGCTCAACTTTCATTCATGATTTAATCATGAAATGGATAATCGAGACTATGTGATAATCGAAGCTAGGACGAAAATTCAATCGCTGAAATCTCGGTTCAGAGTGGATCAATTTGACTGAAATTTTCAGCAAATTCCCTTTACATTATCAAGTTTTTAAGTATTATAGTGAGAACTGCCAGCTCTTTATTTAATCTCCCATAATGTATCTTTAAGACATGCGACCATTTAATTATCAAGTTGGGTCACAACTTCAATACAAGAATAACAGTTCTTTTCTTACCAAGGAAATTAGATAAGGTTTAAAATCGTAAATTTCTGCACCAACTGAGTTAATGAATACAGGATTGTTGAGAATGGTACTTGATATATTTACCTGAATATTTAAGATGTTGAGGACAATAGAAACTAATAACAACAGCTAATGAACTACCATCACCAATATCTTCACATAGATTCTGTATAACAGGTACATGTACACCATCTTTAACAGGTGTTCTACTTACTATTCGTACCTAAAAATAAAACAAAAATATGTATATATCAAATTTCATTAAAAAAAATTTCATCAAAACATCAAACTTTTATAAATACATTGTACAGTCTCCTCTAGGGTCTTTTTTTCAAACAATAACTATGACAATTGGAAATCAAAATAAAGAGACAGAGAAATGGGGTTTAACGTCCACTTGACACAAACTATGTCATTTCGGGACTAACATATGGTTCAATTTTATTTCAATTCTCCGCTACAACCGGAGAATCGAAACCACGCTAGACCTTATGATACAGCGTGCACATGCTTACCATTTGGCCATCCAACCCCCACTGGAAATCGAAATAAGAACCGCTTCCAGGATAAATACTCCCAAATAGCAAACTGCATGACATATGCCCATCTTCAGTAGTCTGTTTTATGCAGTATAACAAGACATTAAACTCCATTTTATTTCTAGAAAGCTTGTTGTTTTCAGACACTGAAGTACCAAATGTTGGATGGCATAGACTAACTGAGCTCAAAAAATACACAACCTTTTTTATATCAAAATTGCCAGTGGCACAACTGACATGTTTATTAGTAGGCATGGATAGGTAAAAAAAAAATTCTTTCATTTATAAAGAAAAGACATCCATTTTGTAAATTTTTTTAACTTTTTTAAAACTTCATTCCAGTTGGACTCTTGAGTGTTTTAAGTTACCTTCTGATTTGTCTCCCCTTGTAGTAACTGTTGTGCAGACGTATCTTTGAATTGAGCAGCACTACAAACTTTATTTAACCAGAATACAGCTGTATCTTCTGCTGATGTAGGTAGTTCACTTGAGGCATTAAATGTTGCAAAACGTCTTAAAGAAAAACAACAATATTAAAATTGACATTAAGCCTGAAGTTGATACAGAAATAAAGACTTACTGAAAAGACAAAAATCGTGCATATAAATGCTAATAAATTGTGATTATTTCATGAAGTTCAAGCAAAATTACATTGACATCATTTTGTATATTAAAAGTCTGTGAATTTCACACATTGCAAGTACCAGGACATCCATGTCTATATTTCTACATTTACTTGCCCAAGTTATAAATGTAATACTAATATCAAGTCACTCCTATACATGTACATGTAACTGAACAATAAAATTCTTTAAATGAGTTACCTAACAACATTATAAGCTAATATACATTTCAGGCAAGGTAAATTCACTATTTTGTCACATTTTGGCATTCCATTTACATACTTGTTCCTTTAACCCTTGCATGTGCTTGTGAAATGGGCCCCAAGGGGTTAGGGCACTAATTTGATGTGATGAATAATAGTAAGTTGTTTCTGGCTAACTGGAATGATTGATACTACCAGTAGTTGTAAGTATACATTCTACTAATAAAAGACGTGCTTCAACATATATCTATACCTACCTAACCGCCTGGACAACCAGTTCTACATTTGTTGTTTCAGCAGCATATGCCATCATTAACCCATATATTAATGCTAAATGTCCTTTCTATAAAAAATATAAATTAAAACAAAGTTAGACTAGAAGCTACACACCTTTACTGTTGTTCTATCTTATAGAATAACAGAGAAATAGAATGGGGTTGGCAAGACAATACTTTGGTTATTTTGAGACCAACTAATACATGGCCTATTCGTGCAGTTATGTGTGCAGGATTTGAACATTGGACATTCTGGTGAAGAATCTAGTTTATGGAGTGGTGAACTACATAATACGCTCATAACAGAAAATAAATTGAATGGATTTTAACATCTTGTCATTTCGAAACTGTTCGTTTTTATTTTGAATACATGAAGGACTAAAAATAAATGCATTGCAAAGTGATTTTTTCTAAGTGCACTATCAATTTTGAACCAGGAACCATAGTACTTTGTTGTATCTAATTCATTGAAATTAGACATTTTTAATTGTTTGCCTTCAGCTATTTTAAGAGTAAACAACCTTGAATGTTTTAAATGCAAAGAAGAATAGGAGGAACACCTCCCTAATTAAGGAAAATGTATGCACATGAATATTCATGACTATAATCATAACATGTATCTCCTGCTAGACTAGCTGCATATATGTTCTGACTCGCTGCACACAAGCTTTACATGTCAAAAGTTATACTAACAATGACAATGAATTTAGAATTGTTTGTCATGCAGGCTTTTCCACTTCAAAATCATGTGAAACATTTAATAACTCACCACGTGAAAGGGAGCTGTTTTAGAGAGAACTGTATCTGTGACAGCAACATCATCGCTATCTGTTACATATATTCCTTTACGCGACAAAACTTGAATTACACTGGCATGTCCTGAAAATTGAATATGTACGTATGTACATGTAGATTATACACTTGAGCAGTTAAGGAGCTTTGCATACAGTACGGTATAGTTCCTAAAATTTAACATTATTTAAGATTTCTTTCTACAAATTTCGCACACAAAATGTATGTTCTTGTCTTTGAATTTCTCAATTTTAATACTTTCATGATTGCTGGTTGATATTAATATTTTAGAATATAAATATTTAGTAAAATGAATCAATGAGAATAGGTACTTTTTTGTATGTGATAATCATAAATATTATTCAGAATAAATGTACATAGCAAATTATCAATGAATATTTTTGGGTTAAAATTATCAATATAAAATAGTACATGGAAGCGTATGGATGACCCATAGTGACACAATTCAGCTAGGTTCATTTGAAAATGGACTGAGCAACCTGGGCCATATGTAGCAACTTGAATTTTTCAATTTTAACACCTCCATGATTGCTTATAAAATTAAGAATTTAAATAATTAGCATTCTGTCTGCCAGTATTGCTGAGTGGCAGTAAAATATTCTAGCAAGGTCTGAGAAAACATTTCTTGATTCTTAAAGATTAGTTGCTACATGAGATGACTATGAGTAAGACACAAACAATATAACAAAAAAATATTGAGGTATAAATTTACCTTTCCATTCCGGGAAGATATTATTACAAGCTTGACAATATAGTTCACTGGATGACAGAGCATTAATTATAACAGGCTTGAGTACCCAGTTACCATCATCTTTTTCATAAAATGGATCTTTAAAATCAGATGGAATGTTATTTTTGTAGGCTTTCTGTAGTATCCACGACAAAGAAGCTCTTAACTTGGCCTGAAAATATAACAAAAATATTTTCATACTAAACAATACTGGTTCTCTGTAAATTAAAATTGCTTTGTGCGGCTATCGACTAGGACATAAGCACAATTACATTAAGACCATCATATATACATGTGGCTTTACATAAAGACTAGATCATCAATTTCTGAAAATCGCTGACTAATCAAAAACATTGTAAAGATTAAAATAAAAAAAAGATACATGTAATACACTCCTATTAAAAGTCACAAAACCTAGATTTTTTAGATTACAACATGTATAATATTATGAGAATGTATTCAAGAAAAGTGCATTATAGTTACTCTAGGCCATAGAACTTGATGACCTTGCATTTAATATATGGAGTGAATCCTGTTTGTTGAATCAAAACAGTGAAATAAACTGTTCATCAGAATCAGATTAGCATTTTCACAATTATTTCTTTTCTTTTACAGCATATTATTGTTGTTCGTAGTTAAGTATGTCACTGACTAGTGTGAAGTTACTATATTAATGTATGATATTGTTATTAGACTGACTGTATCAGATCAATAAATATTTGATAGAATAGTCATACAAACATTCTTTACATACTATCAATTATTAAACATGTACATGTATGTATCAACACCAATTACACAGTTTCTGTATTAACACACACCGACAGCCTGTTATTAAAATACAATGCCAGACAACTGCACAAATAATCATAGACACAAAACCATACATGTACCCATTTACCAAATCAAATATAAAAGTTAAACATACATTATGCAAGAGCTAAATCTGCCAATTGCACATCTTTCTTTAGGCCTTAAATGTTATCTAAATTATTAATTAGACATTAATTAACTTATCCAGACCATAATCCACTCTTAATGGCATCGCTAGCTTGGGATATTTTCTGGATTAGAATCCTATCTGCTGCTTAATGCTCTTTGATTATTAAATAAAAAAGTAGATAATCGAGACTATGTTTTTTATCGTACCGACTCTAGTAATGATGATCGAGGCTAGACCTCAAATTCAATTGCTTAATTCTTGGTTCATAGTGGATCAATTTGAATAAAATTTTCAGCAAATTGCCTTTACATTATCTAGTTTTTAACTATTATAGTGAAAACTGCCAACTCATTATCTAATCTCCCATAATGTATCTTTAATTATAATTTTAACTAAGGTTGTCTTTATATGGTCAGGAGCAAATAACTAACAAACAACTATATAAATAGTTTACTAAGATGACCACTATTGGTACATCTACATCAAATGTTAAAGGTACACCAGGTGTGATCACTGGGCGAGGTTTAACAACTTTGTAAAGGTGACCAGGTAAAAACTAGCAAATATAGGAGTTGATTGCCTAAATTGAAACATAGTTGTCTTCAAGCATTCAAAAAGAGGAATATTGAAATGAAGCCAACTCTGACTACAATCTTCTATAACATGAAAGACAAAACATTTTATTGAAAAAAACAATCTTGTAATTACTGATTATCCAAAATCAAATCCTGATCAGTAGTCTGCAAATACAGTATTATAAAATGTTACATGTTGGCATGCTTAAAGCTGAGTACCAAGTACATGTAAGATAAAACAAAAGAAAGAGTATATCATCACTAACATCTTGGTTTTCGAACCCTAGATTATATCAATACATGTACGAATATAAATCCAGGCAACCGCTGTCACAGCCACATGACCACTATAGACACTACTACTAGAACAATATAACATACATGTATATATACTAACCTGTTTACAATAATCCTCTACATCTAAAGTACAATAATAATTATAACGCTTCTCTAACGGCTGACATAAACAACGACCATCTATTATATTAATGCACATCTTATATAACACAGCAAACACTCTTTCATTTAAAGACAAATACAAAAATATTCTGCACTAAAAATCAATACGGTCTATTACAAACTCTCAAATTGATATTCACATATAAAAATAGTTTTTTGTTTCTCTCACACTTTTATCACAAATTTCCTTCCTTTTTTCTAAACTTGAAATTTTGGGTTAATTATTTAAATTATACTTTAAAGTTAAACATTGAATTCTGAAAGTCCTATGAGGAGAATGTTGAACACAACTGAACTGAATAGAGAAATAAAGTAAACTAAATGAATCAGACAGAATGATTAGTGATGTATAATTTATCATAATAAACTATGTTGAAATACCAGAAAACACCTTGATGACACATAGTTATAAAAACCAATAATTGTAATCAGTCTACAGGTAGGCTGTCTTATAGGTATAGTAAAAATAAACCTAATACAGGTATGTAACAATTTTTATGACTGATAAACTATGAGTCATTCATTAATATTATACCAGTTTTTACCTTCAAGCATAATATAGTCTAAAACTGATTTTAAAATTTGTTCTTAATTTGCTTTCTAATTTAAAGGGACTATCCCGATTTGAACAGAGTCACAAAAATAAATGTCTGAGTACGTATGAAAATATAGAGAAATGGTACCTTGTCTCAAAATTTCAGCTCAAAATATTGAGTCATTTGGACGTGAACGTCAGAACTGCTTATCCGGACACGTAATCCTTTTAAGATTTCGGGTCAATTTTTTCGTAGGGTTGCCTGATAATCGATTCCTGTCCCTTTAGAGGTCTATACAGTGCATGACCCATATGCTGTACTTGATAACGAAAGGTACATTTCACCTACACATTATTTTTATAAAATAAAAGACTGATTTTATCCAGTCACCGCATAATACAGCTTGGGACACCGATCTCCATTTCCAGATGAAGACTGACAGGTTTAAGTTGTTGAAAAACATATCACATATATTAAGTTAGTTGCTCGACCCAAATAAAGAGGATTTTAAGGGATTTTAACATAAAATTAAGCAGTTTTATTCTCCAAAATATTATCGGGATTGGCCCTTTAAATGTACATCTTTACATATGGTAAGAAATTATTCATGAAATTACGCAATCAGGGTTCGAAACAAAAATTTGCCAAGCACCTGCAGGACCTGTGTGAAAGATAATCATGTGGGTCCTTCAGGCGACACGCAGGCCCAACCAAGGTGGTATTTTATTCATATGCAAAAAGTGCAATTAAAGATAGTATCTGCAGAGGATGTTTCTATTAATTCAAAAATAGAAAAATACATATTTTCATTGTTTAGTTTTTATTATTATGGCTTCTGTCAGCAGATCCCAGGACAACATCATAGTCTGACTCATTACTACTAGTGGATGGTCAATTGATTAGCGCATGTATCATAAGGTCTGTCATTTAGTCAACTGGCGTGGCTTCGATTCCCCGGTTGTACGTGACAAGGAGTTGGGTCGCCTGTCCAACCTCATGGGTTTTCTCTGGGTCCTCCCGTTTCCTCCCGAAATGACCTAGTTTGTGTCGAGTGGACGTTATACTCTATCTCTCTTCTCTACACGACAGTTGTATGTTGGCACTAATTATGCAAGATAACAAGGCGAGGGTCCGGTGGACCCGAGTGAAGTAGGCAAGCAGGAGTCCTCCAATAAATCAGTCAGCCTCGGGTCTACAGACAGACATTTGTGTCGAACACTGACTGTAAGTGACAAATACCTTATTATTAATTTAAAAATTTTGACTTCATACTGAATATTTTATATTCATCAAGCAAGTTTAATTGCCAAGTCTATAGAGAAAAGGGATAGAAATGCAACTTAACATTCATTCAATACAAGTGGCTTATTGTAAGACATGGTACATGTGTATTTTGAGAAACTCATTAACTACACAGTGCTTCTTATCAGTAGGTGAGTGGTACCCTGGAGAAGCTCACAGGGCTTTTAAAGGGACAGTCCCAGTTATCATAGGACACATAATATACAAGTAGTTTGCAAATCAAATGACAAATCTGATATTTGATCATTTCAGAAATAGTCAGTAGATTTCCATTGTTCATTTGTATATGTGACTTGATAATCACAACAATATTAACCACAAGGATAATTAAACACTTATACAATGCATGTAGCAAAATCTTGGGCCTAAAATATGTAATAACCAGAAATATGTATTTCTTTCCAAACAGAATTATTGTCTGCTATGCATCCAGTTATATTCACTAAAAGTAAAATATATTTTACATGCTCTTTTAACTGTATAGCAGAAGGAGAAATGCAAATGAGATTTTTCATGACAATGACGTGTTCCTTAAAAACACCCAATCAATGTCTATTTCATTCTGTGTATTACAGTATGTCCATGCTGAAGGTGAATTGTAAATGTTAAAATAACACTCTCCTCTATGATTTGGGTTAAAAATAAATCTTCAGATTTTATACATTGGTTTGTTTTATGGGATGACAATCTGACTTCAGTGAAAATGTTACATCTATATATAAATCCAGTATTGAGGATATAACAAATTTTGTGCTCATCAGCAAGCCAAAAACACAATACTATATATTGAGTCACCTCACATCAATACTTTATTTTGTCCTAAATCAATGAATTTAGATTCCTTAAACCTCTTCATCTCTACTGATGCAAATTAAATATGATTTAAGTCATACTTTATTCAACTTTGATGACTAACCCAAAAGCAATAGTTAAAGGCTTAAGGGTTAAGTTATACATGTAAGGTGATATCAATCAATAATTAACTCAACAATATGTATAACTTTGGAGTAAAATGACTGACACACATCTCAAAGCTATTCAAAGATATGAAGAAGCAAAACAGAGAGGAAAAGAATCAACAGCAGTGTCAAAGCTTCTCCCGAGACTTCAAATATTACGTATTACTATTATTAAACTAAGATGTTGCTTTTAACTGATGCAATAGAAAAGAAAATATCTCATCAAACTCCAAATCAATTGTCGTTCATATCAGCTTTAGAAATTTGGTACATATGAACATTACATTCTTAATGGACAATTATATAATGCTCTTTGATCAGATAGATAACCAACCATACAGCGGGTTACGATGATGTGCAGTTGAGGACGTAAGAATTGTAAAATTAGGGTGTATAAT